AACACCCTCGTCCGATTACCGGCAGAACGTCGCAATAAGCGTTTCCCCAGTGCGGTGTGGGGTGCCTTGTTTCGGGGGTGGCACTTCGGACGATGAAAATTTTCCGGAGGGCTCGACTGGAACGATAGTCACATCGTTTGACGTGTGAAACGTTACGTCGACGTTCGCGACTCGTCGCCAGTCTGGTCCCAGAATCAGGTCGATGCCGCTGGGCAATTCCGTTACCACGACGTCCAACGCTTGATGTGACACTGGGCACCACATTCGTGGTGCCCAGTGTCACATCAAGCGTTGCAGCGAGAGTTGGGCATATGCTGCGGTTGAGAACTTCAATGTTCTCGCGAGATACCCATGCGTGCGTGGGAATGTCGTCCGTCAAGGCATTGGCACTCATGATGGATAAGTTGGCGCCACTGTCAATGCACACGCGGACGGGTCGGTTGTTAGCAGTACCGGACACTATTGGTAATGTGCCGCCCGTCGAATGCAAAAAACAGTTCGCTTGCCTAGGTGACGTAGTCCCTGTTTCGTGGCTGCTATTGTCCCTCTTCACTTGTTTCTCGTCCGGTCTGATCGTTGCTGGCGTTTTCGGCTTTCTACAATCACGGGACGGGTGACCGATGTCGCCGCAGTTGAAGCACGAACGAGCAGAGATGGGCCGCGGGTGTGGAGCTCCCGAGAAATCGCTGCGCGGGTTGGACTTCGGCAAGTTGGCAGAGCTGCTGGCTGGCACCCGCTGCGGTTCGAACCCTGACCACGGCTCGCTGTAGACGATGACGGTTTCTTGTCGTTCTCGGCACACACGGTCGTGCGGCGCCTCGCGTCGAGCGAAGCCGCTCTGTCAATGAGTTCGGTTACTGTGCCACACAGCTGCGCTACGAGTGGGTTGGCCCATGTGTCGTCCTCGATGCCGCTGAGAATGAGGGAAATGCGCTCTTCCTCTGCTAAACGGTACGGCGCCTTGTTCAGAATGGCGTTCTTCGAGTACATGTACTCGACGATGGTCTCGAGGCTCTGAAGGCGTCGCTTCGTCTGCAGTTCGAGGAACTCCTGCATTGTCAGCTTTCGTTTGAATTGGAGAATGAGTGCTTCCTTCCATTGCTCCCAGGTGTCATGCTGTGAGCCATAGGCGCTGTGCCAATCCTTGGCAAATCCCGTCAAGCGGCTTGCTGCTGTCACCAACGTCAGCGATGGCGTCCAGTGGGCGAGCGCTGCGATTCTCTCCACTTGCGTAATCCATTCGTGAGCACTTTGTTGCGGCGTCCCATCGAACAAGGGGATTGAGGATGACGTGTCGCTTGTGGAATGAATCTCAATCGGGCTCGTCGTCGGTGGACCTCTCGACAGCGTGTTGGCGAGCAGGGCTTGTTTGTTCACGAGCGCGGCGAGAATCTGGGCCATGGAAGGTTCTCCCTCGTGCGTTGAAACGGTCGGCGCGGCGGGGCGTGCCGCATCTTGGTTGGTGCCGTCGTTCAGTGACGGTGGCCGCGTCGAACCCGAGGACATCGTTATGTCAGCAGGGACGGAATGGTGCAGCCCGAGGGTTGGAGCCGTCACCTGTTCCGTTGGCAGTGAAGCGTTCTGATGGGCTTCGTGCAATGTCTCACGTTCACTCGTGGTCGCACGGTTAAGCTGGGCTCGCAGGCTGCTCAGTTCAGCGCAAAGCCTCGCGTTGTCGGCGGACAGTGTCTCCAGGTGCGCCTGCCTGTCGTCGTCGTAGGCAGCCTGGTCCTTCGTTGACGAGTCCGTCGGCTCTAGGGCTTGGCGAGTGATGTTGTCGCGGATGATTCTTGCGATGAGCTTGTCCTTTCGTCCGGAGCACCGTAGACCTCGTGCTCTCAGCTCGTCGACGAGTTGCTTTTTCGTTGCATTGGCCATCGTACTGTGGTCGAGGGTCGTGAACACGCTTTCGACGATGGCCGTTTCGGAGTCCCGAGACGATGTACGGCGCGGCGTCGCTCCTTCTCGTGGCGTCGTTTCCTCCTCCGCATGCAGCTCGGTTGATTCACATCCTGTCGGCTGCGCCATGTCAGCGATGTCCGAATGAATGTAGTCAAGGCAAGGTTCAAATTTTAAGGAAAACTGTATTGTGCTAAGTTACAGGCGAATCGGCAGTGGTTACATGTATAAGGAAACTGGACTCGGTGCAGGAGCTCGATCGGATACGTCCGACGCCACTCGCGTCTCGGCTCGCTCTGCGATGCGTCGCTCTGCGGTCCCGGCTCGAATCTCGGCTCGTTCTCCCTCTCTGGCGATGCGTTGCTATGCGGTCCTGGCTCGAAGGCTCACTTTTTGTTTTTTGAATGTTCGTTGAACCAATGGGCAACCGCGTCGAGTGGACGCGCTCGGGGCTCGGAGTCCACGTTAACGCAGTGCAGCGTTTCCCGAGCAAGCACGGAGACGCTGCCGGAGAATTCAGCTGTGCGAACTCGAGTGCCGCTGACACAATAATCGTCGGTAGCACGCCACTTTGCTGCCGAAGCTAGCTTTATCTAGACATCTGCGCCTGCCAAACGACAGTTTTGAAAATATCGGCGTAACTCTTTTACAGTACGTTATGTTGGGCTAGTTGGTACATATTAGGCTGAAATACGTGGCGCAAGGTTGACAAAGAGAAAAAAAGACGAGACAGAAAGAGCGCCAACTCACAACTAACTTTATTTTCATGAAGCATTCACAATATATAGGCTATTGGAGGACATGCGCAGACCATTTCATTCACCGCACGTGCAGGCATGAACATTTTGATGATGCAATAACCGATAATTGCAATCACGATATCTGGGAACCAGCTACGAACAGATATGCCTAATGTAAAGACGTCGAAAAAACCAAACACACCCAAGCTTGCGGGGAAAAAAAAGATGAGGAAAAAACAGCAAAAAAAGGACTGACAGACACTTCGTAGCACCCATCTAAAGTACATCTAGATCCAACAGTTGGAATTCACTGTTAGGAAACACAACTGTAGGCACGCTGACGCACGAGTCACCTTTTTTCATTATGTGAAAGGATTCGGGTAACTCCCGCGCCAGCGCATACCCGCTCCTTCGCACTACTCGCGTGCGATCGAACTGCAGCGTGCAGCCACACGAAGCACAGTGAAAGGGCAAATGAGACCCTGTTCCATTCCTAATTGATAAGGAATGCTCCCTTAGACGGCCATTTGTGCAGCGCCCTGTCTGGCCTATATTCCCCTGAGATGTGGCAAGGTCTATATTGGAGGTAAGCAATGGCTGCTACTGGGAATGAGAGACAGCAGAAGTCGGGGGAGAGGAGGGGGGAGTGGTTATGTTGTAAGAAGGAAAAGAAAAGTGAGTCTCGTAACTGTCTGCTTCAGGGAGCGACACCTCCTCAACAGTAGCTCACAAGGGATGGTGGTGAGGAGGAATTTAAAGAATAGGAATAAAGAAGCAGAGAAAGAGAGATGAGGTAAGCGTGAAAGCATGAGAGTGACGACATATTAAAGGGGATATGAGAGATAGGAAAGATGGAGACACGGTCACAGGAGTCCGAGGACGGGGCACGACTTGCGAGAGCTCTTGTCGGCGTCAGGAGATGGCGTAGAGCAAGTCCTGTTGGTCAGAGCTACACTGTCGTTGGAGGTCGGCGTCAGGAGATGACGTAGGGTGAGCCCAGTCGGCCAGAGCTACGCTGGCGTCGGAGATCGCTGAGCGCACAACCGGTCGGCACGGAATCCAGCGAGCGAGTCCTTTTTAACACTTCTACTTCTACTAACGTTTCCTACTGTAACATGCCAATGGCTGCTAGTGGGGAATGAGAGACAGAAGAATTTGGCTTTTAGTTAACGCGCACGATGAGATTTTTTTTTATTGTTCAACAACGCCCAGGAGAAATCTCCCACCGGCACCACCTTGGAGGTCAAAGCGTAAGACTGGTTACACACTACGACTACAACTACGAGGGACTAACGGGTGCCGCAATAAGGAGCTTCGCCCCTAAAAGGGTCGGTGGCGGCGCGCCAATGTCTCGGCGCACATCTTTACTGACGATGCTGGCACTACGCTTTATAGGGAACTAAAGTATTAGTTCGCCATAATACAGTGCTAGAATGTAGTGACACCTCTCCTTCTAGCCACCATAACAAAAGGTCTCCTCAATTTCACTGCGCTTTCTGCACTAGTTCAAGAGTGCTGCACTTTGACCTTCAATTTGGCGAGTGCAGCTCGCATGTGCACGTCTGTCCTCGATATGATGTCGTGCTGCACGAGTTAATCGGCACTTCAGCACTAGCTTTCCAGCGAGCTTCTCGTCTCGTGCATGGACTGCTAGGTAAATGATGTAGCTGCACTTTTGTGCCGTTGTTGCTTTTGCTCTCGATTTGACCACTGCCATAGAGTAATTTTTATATTACTCCATGCAGCTGCACCTCTTGAACTACGTGCAGAGACAGAGAGAATCAACTTCATTGCGCTCGAATACCGATGGTGCGTGCTTGCACCAGACGGGTGGCTTGCAGCTAAACCGAGGAGGCCCACGAAGGAAGGAAACAGGAGGCCTATATAGTTGAGAAGACCTATATATAGTTGTTTTCTGCCTCGATGTACGCTTTGATACGCGTGATGTCACGTGAGCAGATTCCAGCGCAAAATTTAAAAATAGTACTTCAACCTTGGTTGGTTTTCTTCACTAATCATTAATGAGCTAAAATTAGCAAAGTAATGACACTAGAGTTCCCAGAGAACATTTGAATAAGCAAGACCAATTAACTGTTTTATTTTAGTGTTCCTTTAGGCTTTGCAAAACTGAATGCAGCGTTTGTAAAAGACCCATTTGCTGTGCAGAAGTGAAACCGAAACCTTAAGCTTTGTGAAGATTAGTACAAACTACAAATTTTAAGAACAAAACTGTATACAAATACTTGAGCCTTATAAATTGTTTGAAAGTGTGCTACTGTTTATACTGCACGTTTTGTTGCTTTGAGCATTAAACGTTATCGTTTTTAAACGCCAGGCGGCACTATACACAATATGGTTCCTTCGTAAACAACAGCAGAAGCCACCACAACGTGAGTATTGTTTGCAAGCAATGTAACTTCTTAATAACGGTAAGAACTGTCTGTGATAGAGCTTCCCAAGGTGTTGGTATTTCACACGTTCTTTTAGGTCACATTGTACACCTTCCTGTATTATCGTCAGAAAGCTCTTTGTCGAGTACCGTTAAACCGAAACTGCCGTTCTCTTGGCAATCAAATCCTACAATATTGTTCTGAAATGCTTCTTAAACTATCAAAATGTGTTAATAACATAAAGTGCTTGAACTTGAGTGTCAACCGAGAAAGCTCTTTTGTGGCTTCATCGTTTTGCGCGCGTTCACTGAAGCGCCAACAAAAGCCGTTTTTATTGGTACCTCTCGTGGGTACGAGGCACATTTCCGAGAATACAATGTCAACAACTACAAGTGTTACCAAAATTCAGCTCGCTAGTCTTCCCGCTGTCATGGACAGAACAAAATTATTCAAGGAAATTTGTGGACTTATGGTGCTAGAACGGGGCGAAGACTGCAGCAGCGAAGGCATACTCGCCGGCCCGCCGGCAACGAAGCGATCCTCGCGAGCTTACAAAATCTTGCGTAGCATCACGACAATGAGAGATTGTCTCTTGTCGCGGCGTCGCGACTACGTCAAATACGTTCTCTGCACGCTGTCGCCGGAGTCGTGCTGCGCCACAGTGGACTGGGAACGCTGGCGCACGGACCGAATGGTAGAACAGTTTGCGCGCAACGTGCGAGCGGAGATTGAAGACTTCTCCGCCCAGAAGAACAGTAACGGCCTGCAGCAAAGTCTTCAAGCGTGCCAACACCGCATGAGCGTACGATCGCTTCTGCTCGACTACCTGGCTACGACGTGCCTCATCTATGCCGAGATGAAAGCTGCTTATGTCAAGCGCGTATGCGACCGACAGCGGTGGAGCAGACTTTGCTCTCCGTATCGCAGCTTGGGTCCGAGCAGTTCGGGCGGTCACTCGAGTTTGCTGCCAGGCAGCCGCTTATAACGAGCCTGCGGCAGCTGTCGAGCGCAGCCTCCAAGATGGTGACCGTGGGCGGCTGGTTGCAGTCGTCGGAAGATAGTGAGAGTCCACGCGATGCAACGGCACTGGATCTCAGTATGACGTACGAAGAATGCTTGCAGTTCGAAGAGGAGAGCAAAATCCTCATGGACCGTCTGAACGGCCAGCGAGAAATCGTGCGCGACATAGAGTCGCAGGTGATTGACATCGCCTGTCTGCAGAGAGTTCTCACGGATCACATTCTGGAGCAAGAGGATGACGTTGAAAGGGTTGCCTTGGCAACCGAACACGCTAGTGCAAACGTTACAGCTGCTAGGAGGGAACTGAAAGAGCATGTCGTGCAGCGACCTTCTTTTGCTCGTTGTGCTGCGGTACTCATAGTGTGGCTTTCGCTGCTGCTACTTTTCCTTCACTGGTTGACTCCGTAACCGGGTGCAGCTGTGTCAGAGAAGGACAAGTGCGATGCCTGCACTATGCTGAGCCGACCACATTCAAAAACTACTGTAGCCTGTATAGACCTTCCAGTGGCATCTAGCTCACTAAAACAATGTGGCTATTAAAATTTTAATGAATAATTAGAAGTGCAGCTGTGTCAGAGAAGGACAAATGCGATGCCTGCACTATGCTGAGCCGACCACATTCAAAAACTACTGTAGCCTGTATAGACCTTCCAGTGGCATCTAGCTCACTAAAACAATGTGGCTATTAAAATTTTAATGAATAATTAGAATACATTTTGTTTTTGTGGCACAAACCAGCCACAATAATTTATCCTGGTTTAGAGAAAGATGTGTCTCGGGTTAAAGCAAACAGTAGTGCTTGTTTCCTAGTGCCCTTTATTTAGTAAACTTACTGCAAAAGTTGAAAAGAAAAGCCTGTAACTTCATAAAGTTAGCAACTGTGCTATTAAGAGATTGGAATGTAGGAAAGTTATAGATGTTTGGAGGTGTCTTGCATTTGCACTGAATGACATCGTAATATGTGTGGTGAATATTGATTGCACACAGCATAGCACACACCGATGTTGAATACACAACGCTCAAAAATAGGTTCTTTTATAAACAGGTAACTTCCAACACTGCATTATTTTGTTGTATCACAAGGCAGGTATATCAATTTTGCATCTATAAGTGCATGAATATATTATTTGGACTGCCCCACCGCGGTGGTCTAGTGGCTAAGGTACTCGGCTGTTGACTCGCAGGTCGCGGGATCGAATCCCGGCTGTGGCCGATGCATTTCCGATAAAGGCGGAAATGTTGTAGGTCTGTGTGCTCAGATTTGGGTGCACGTTAAGGAACCTCAGGTGGTCTCAATTTCTGGAGCCCTCCACTCTGGTGTGTCTCATAATCATATAGTGGTTTTGGGACGTTTAACCCTACATATTAGTCAAGTCAGTATCATTTGGACTGGTTCACATCTTGTAAAACCATCTAGCAATGACTGCAAGTTGGTTCTTTTGAAACTAAAATAGGCTGGGAAACTGACAGCTTTGTGATGGAAGGTCTTACAGTTCTCACATTTATGTAAACTTTGTGTGGTATAACCTCGGCATATTACAAAAGTGAAATGATGTGAAGTCATAACAAAGTGGTCGCATCAACCTATATGCTCGTACTGGTGAAATTCGCAGATGCCTGCATACTCTCAATCGAGATAGCAAATTCTCTACACCCCTGAAGCGTTGCATGAAGCTGGTAATTCTGGTCACTCACAGTTCATTTTGTCACTGTTTAATATGTCGTAATTGACATTACATAAGTGCCTAATTTAAATACCCATGTCGGTGATGTTGGGTTATAGTCTAGCCAGCGTCATCAACAAAAAACTGTCATGGAGCCACTGTTCTCATTTTACGTCTTTATTCTGTAGCTTTGAGACAGCCAACAAAAAATTATTGGAACTCATACATGTTTCAATATTAAATGAGCAGTTTAATAGAGTGATTGTGTGTAATGTAACTATAATTCTTCGCTTCTCTCCTCATCATTGTTCTTCCTAGAAGAGATCATGATTATCAAGCTAAAGTGTGCTACACTTTCTCAAGATTTGTAGAGTAGCTATAGGCTCCCTGTCTCTCTCCACTTTGCTTCATCTCCTCTTTTAGGCATCTCACGCGGCCATGGATAACAGTTTGAGAAATGATAGTACAAGTTGGCATGTACACATACCTTCATTAATATACTGTTCCTTCTCTGCAGATGGAATATACAGTGCCCAAGGAATATACAGTGCCCAAGTACCCCGTTGTAGGGGAACCGGGATTGGAACAGTTCCCAGGTGGCCTGGCTCATGGCCAGGACTACAGCTTTCTGCAGAACATCCTGGTGGACGGCGGCAGCCAGTTCGGCGTCACTGCGCTGGCCTTTGATACCCAGGAAGAGCTGCTCTGGATGGGAAATCAGGGGGTACTGGCCTCTTCTCTCAGCTCGTCACTGGACATTGGTCTGTCTGTGTGCTGCAGTGATGGAGCGTGTTAAACCTATAAGGACTTTTGATGACTTCCAGCTCATTTTGTTTATTGTACCTTCAATCGCACAATCTCTCAGAAAAGGTAGCGGAGTACATAAAACAACAAACAAAATAGCATCAAATTGATGACAAGTACTGTACAACTGAAGATATGATGTTAAGCTAATACAAGTGAGTGCAAAATGTTAGTACGATGAGAAATGCAGTACAAACAATGTAGAAAATAGTCATATACAATACACTTCATGCATCATCAAGTAAGTAATTGTGTAAGTTCAAACAAAGCAAGTTATTATCTGAAACTAAAATAATCTCGGTGGGAAGGTGGTTTCAGTTTCTAGGCCTGCATGGGACAAAGGAATGATAGAAAAGGTTAGTACGGCAGCAAATGCTCTGTACGTTACGATGATGATCTAAATGAGCATAGCCTTGATATGGGGCTACAGTGAACTGAGCTTTCAAAGCTGGATGATTGTAACTTTTTGGTCACCAAATGATGTCCACAATCAGCATTCACTTATGTATACTTCGTCATTTTTCTACGGCACGTTTGAGCTCTATGACAATATGAAATCATCCAGTTTGCTGGTGGACATGCGTGTAAGATTTTGTGGATAGCACCCATAACAAGACAGCTGAACAAAGCTGAAGCATAGTACTGTATGGCCTCTGAAACATGCAGCTGCTCACTGTGCTCTTGAGACGAATTCAAATTAACGAGAAAGTTTTTGCTTGAGGCCATGCTTCTAGAAACGAATAAGCCGCAGATTTCATTTCCGGCCATGGTGGCCAGATTCTGATGGGGGCTGAGTAGAGAAGCATTCATGTACTCAGTGTGTATTAAACAACTTTACTGAGAAATTGTATTGTTGAATCTCTTTATTACTATAGTCCCTGTGTTGCCCTCATGCACCAATGCACTCAGTAAATTATATGATGAAATAACTTTGTTGTTTCTCAGCAGTACTGCAACAAATGTTGAAGGTAGGGAAACCTCAGAATTAAGAAATAAAGGGCCAAGTTAGTCTGGTCATTCACTTCATGTCAACTCGCATAATTACCATTCTTTCTGTGAAGTAAAACTAGATATCTTCTCAAATATTTTTAAGGGGAGACGCGGGTCGAAAAGTCGCGTTTTTTTCCAAATTTCACCTTTTCTGTTTTTTGTTGCTTTATCATCTTTATACATTATATTTTGACATCTGAAAATATCACAGCGAAATAAGCATCAGAAGTCAGTGAAAAACGCGTCTGAGTGAGCGGCAGTGACGCGCGGCATCACGAAATTTACACAAAACGGGCTGCTGTTCGCGTGCTCGCGGGGCCGCGAAGAGAGCTGTCCGCCATATTGCGGCCGCTGGCTCGTGTAGAGTTGTCCTTACTCTCCACGATCCCGGTTCTTGAAGTCTCGTACGTTCACGAAAAATCTAAAAAAAAAGCAACAAAAACAGTCTTTTCCCGCCGTTTCAAACCGCGCGCCACTAACGCAGGGCCGCCATTGGCTGACAGCACCCGTGTTTTCTTGCCGTAGTTCGCTTCACTGTTTTCCGGAGTTATTTTTCGCTGTTTTCGTGCGATGGCAAGCCCGAAAAAGGCCGTTGCCGACCATCGGAAATACAGAAGTAAGAACAAGTTCAGAGGGAAGCGGCGGAGGACGTACAAGAAAGCCATCGCCAACGAAAATGTCCGCGACGGGCCAGCGGCCGGTAGGCCTAACATCGACCACGGCAACGTCGACCATGGCAACTGCGACGACGAGATCAACGCTGCAGTGAATTTTGTGAGTGCATCGCAGAAAAAGATCGCGTTATTCGAAAACGACGTCAGGCCGAATGCCGATCGTGCCGAAAGCGTAGTGCTGTGCGAGTTGGGTGCATTGACGGCCGTCGTCGCAGGCGCGGCATGCCCCGTTTGTCACGAGAGTAAACTCGCAGTTCGGGCACCGAATAAAAAGCGGAAAGGCCTTTCGGCGTTTCTGGAGCTACACTGCGAGAATGCGGAGTGCTCGGAGAGCATCCTTTCGTCCGCGTACTCGTCGAAGCGGGTCGCGTCAGATGGCGGCCGCGGTGCAAGCAGAAGCTACGACAGCGGGAGTTCGCGTGACGCCTTTGCCGTGAACCTGAAAGTGGTGCTTGCAGCGCGTGCCGTCGGTATCGGGCATGAGCAACTTTCACGATTTTGTGCAGTAGTTGGATTGCCAAACCCTATGCACCATAAGACCTTCCATGCTATCGGCAAAAAGATTCACAGTGCGGCAGTGAAGGCTGTCTGTGAAAACATGCAAAGGGCACGCAGCGTCACCAAAGAGGTGGCTGGTAACAGTGACGTGCCAGTCATGTTTGACGGCACATGGCAAAAAAGAGGCCACAAAAGCCACAATGGTGTGGGAACTGTAGTGTCCTTGGACACTGGTTTGTGCCTGGACTATGAAGTGCTTTCCAACTTCTGCCTGGCGTGCAGTTTGCATAACGACATGGGAGGCGATGAAGAAACATGGCAGGCGTTTCATCATCCCGTTTGTGAGAAGAATTGCGACTGTTCTTCGCATGCCATGGAGGCCGAAGCTGCAGTGCGCATTTGGCAGAGGACTGTGGACTATGAGACACCCCTGCGGTTCACCATCTTCCTAAGCGATGGAGACAGCAAGGCCTACAACGGGGTCTGTGATGCCAACGTGTACCCTGACACTCCAATTGAAAAAGAGGAGTGCACCAACCACGTGGCGAAACGTCTGGGCACCGGCCTGCGGAAGCTGCCAACGCCACTTCCACGAGGGGAGAAGCTGAAGGAGACCACCATCCAGAAGCTTCAAACTTACTTTCAGGTGGCCATTGTGAACAATCGGGGAAATGTCCACAAGATGTACACTGCCATATGGGCCTCATGTTTGCACTCGTGCTCAACAGACGGTGCTGGAAGTCACAAGTTCTGTCCTGCAGGCCCAGACTCGTGGTGCAAGCACCGACGTGCTGAGGCGCAGGGCCAGCCTGCACCGTGCCACACCCCCCTCCTGACCAAGGCCCAGGGTTTGGCAGTCCTCCCAATCTACAAGCGTCTCAAAGATGCGAAGCTGCTTGCCCGGTGCCTCCACGGCAAGACACAGAACGCGGCCGAGTCCCTGAACAGCAAAATATGGCTGCTGTGTCCAAAGACCCGGTTTGCTTCCCGGACTGCTGTGGAAACAGCCACAGCCATTGCAGTCCTGTGGTTCAACCGGGGCCACGCCAGCTTTGAAAAGGTGCTGGAAGAGCTTGGGGTGCTTCCTTCGGAGGCCCTGGTTACCCTCAGCGACCGCCGAGACAGCATGCGCATGCACAAGATGAATGTGCGTCAGACCGCTGAGGCGAGGGCACACCGTCGCAGTGCAGCCAAGAGGGCCCGGGTGGAAGAGTCCTGCCGCACCAGCCGGGAAGGGAAAACCTACGGTGCTGGAGAGTTTTAGACAACTGATATTCCCTCTGGACATGTGTGTATGTGTTCAGCACAAGTTTCGTGCTACTGCGTTTTTCATTTTTGTAAATACAGACTTTCAAACTTTCAAACGCGTTTTTCTCATTTCGCAATTTTGGCCAATTTGCATTTTTTGCGGGAAGTGTTTCGGGCACTTAGAATGGTCATACGACGACGAAATTTGGCACACACATTGAGGAGAGTGCGTAGGGTGCCGATATCTACTTGAATCAGCACAACCTATCAGCTGTAAATATCTATTAATAAATTTAATGGTGGTCGAGTGGAAAAAAAAGGGTAGTTTGCTACACAGATGTTTTTTTCATAGTTTCAAAGTTGGAGCACAATTTCTAGCTAGATATCGGCACTCTATGGCTAATAGGGAGCAAAAGGAGCCATTGAACAACTCTCTGCATGAACATTTAGTATGCGCGAAAGTTCCCGGAAAACTTATCAAGTTTCACCATTACTTGAAACACAACTCCCAAACTATTGCACTTATGTAAAAACTGATTACAGATTTGGAATCAGGAGGAAAAACTGCATCAGTGGTCCAATTTCTGAAGCTCTAAGTTGAATAACAAAAAAAAAGTGCTTTCGAGGAGCGTCTCCCCTTAAAGCTTCTTTTATTGTACGCTACCAAAATGGCAAGAGTTCATCAAAACGCAGAGAAAAAAAAAAATGGATAGTTGCAACTTTGGGTCAACAGATGTATATCATAACATTCAACAAGGGGTTTTAATTGCACACTGTATTTGCGCTTGCAACCATCTTGTCATGTGTGCATGTTTACGAGGGACTGATTCTTGAGAACTGTGTCTATCCTCTACCAAGGGCCATGTGACGTCATACTATACCTGGCAGCTGCAGAAGTACACGTCTTTTCAAGTGCACGCCACTAACGAGGTGCGCCAGTTGCTGACCATCGATGCCGGCGTCCTGTCTCTCACCTGCAACACCCTTCGTCTCAACAACCGCAGAGGACTGATTGCATTCCACCACAGGTGTGTACTGGCTTTACTATTCTCTGTCATGACAAGGCCCTTGAGCTGAGAAATGAGATGTGCTGACGTAATACACATTGATTCTTTAAAGTGTTTGAGGTGTCGCTCTTACCTTAGGTGAAACCGTGGAAACAAGAAGATGCAGGACTCTACTTGCACCATCACTCAGAATCTTCGGAGCGAGCTGTCAGCCATTCCTTGCACCTTGCTCATTGAATGTGCACCAACTGAAGCTTTTAATTACTAGCTGCAAATGAAACAGTGCTGGACATAATTGGCAATCTAGCCATTTTCAGTGCAGGTGTTCAAAAACATTTTCCCACTTGCTCAGCTGCGTGGCGATTGGTGTCGAGTGGGCTCGTGCGAGTATTCGAACACTTGAAATATTTGAACGAATATTACAGTACTTGAATCGGCTTCGATTTGAATTTAAGGTATAGAAAATATAGAAGTACTCGTAATGAATGAATAGAGGTATATTAATCCACATGCAACATCCTGTAGAAGTGGTTTCTCTGCAGCAAAGGAGTGCGAAGCCATGAGAACATGTATACAGGGGAACGGTGCACTGCTGCAAAGCCTCATTTCAACGTTAAAGGGGCCCTGAAACACTTTTTTGAGTAAACATGGAATTAATTCACTGGATAAGCGTATACCTCACAAAATGAACGCCGCAAAAATTTTAAGAATCCGTCTAGTACGAGCGTAATTACAAAGATTTGTCACATGCTGCAATCACATTCTCTCTGCTCTCTTCCCGACGAAAGCGCTGGAAGCTGAGCCGGGAGGGATGGAAGGGGTAAACAAAAAATTACTTGTATCTCGTGACCTCGAGAATTTTTTTCTTTTTTTTCTTCGAATACGCAGCTTTTTCAGTGCAGTTGCGTGGACAAGTGACGGCTTCTCACGGCGATCTCTGTAACAACAAAGCGCGCCAAGTTTAAATCAGCCAATGGCTGATAGAAGGGCTTACTGGGCTCAATTCTGTGATTTGTCAAGAGAAGAGAAAGCTATTTTTAGCCAACTTTGATAATTTATTCCGAATTTCAGGCTGCATGCTGTGCTATAATATTTGGCTTGTGTGTTTTCGGGAGCCTTTACTACCGATCGGCAGCATTTACTGACCATGCTCAAAAAGTGTTGCAGGGCTGCTTTAAATGAAGATATCACCTTCACGTTGATGTTAAAAAACCTGTTATGCCAGCTTATATGCTTTAAGTATAGTAAATTTAAAACATAACATATTTTACAGGTCATCACTGGCATTCTATTGAAAGTCAAATCCTGCTACTATTAAAGGTTGCTTCTACTTCCTTAAAAAGAAAAAAAAAAAAGGGCTTTAGCATAGGCCTTGTTTCAGGTTTTAAGAAATATTGTGCTGGTTGTTTAGGTCGTGACAAATATGTCCATTTTTCTTTGTAATATATTAATATATATAAGATTCGAACTTGATTCAGAGTTAATCAATCGAAATCACTATTCACTTTCAATTCGTTTCGACTCTAAAATTCACTGTTGCACACTCCTGGTGTCAAATCATTGCAGAATGCTTTTTTACTATGTTCACATGAAGAAAACTAATCATAGGTGATCATGTCTAAGATCCCACATATAAAGCCAGACAAGATATAGGCCTTTTTTCAGATTTTAAGAAATATTATGCTGGTTATTCAGGTCCTGACAAGTATGTTCATTTTTCTTTGTAATATGTTAATATATAAGATTCGAATTTGATTCAGAGTTAATCAATCAAAATCACAATTCGCTTTGAATCGGCTTAGACTCTAAAATTCACTATTCACACAAGCCTAGTGTCTAACCATTGCAGAACGCTTTTTACTATGTTCACACGAGAAGAACTAATCATAGGTGATCATGCCTAAGATCTCACAAGCAAAGCTAGAGACATAGAAGAGTGTGGGGGCAACCAGCAGGTAATTACTGCAAATGCCTACAAGCGTACCTTCAATTATTAGACGAAACAGAAAGCAAGCATGTATACGGAAGTTTTCAAAAGGGAAGTCCCAGAGCGTGGCCTGAACTGTGCAGTCAGGTTGTGTGAAGAGTTAGCATGGTATGCACTCATCACCTCTACCATTATACAAAATAAATAATTAACAACGAATGTTCATTCAATTGCAAAGTAAGGAGAGAAAAAAAAAGGTTCAAGATGTAAGTTTTAGTTCGTTGTAAGGGCCTACAATCCCTTTTTCCTATGTTTGAATGAAAATGAATGTCATGCAATACATTAAGTTTATTATTATCTTTATTTTTGCACAGAAAAGCACAATGAGGTGCTTTCCTTGAAACCAGCTTTCTTTGTTCAGGCTGCTTTATTATTAGTTGGGTTTGTTGGCAGTTCCCTCAGTGTATGAAATGTAGATGGGCAGCTAATTGACAAGTGTGAATCCAAAGTATGTTTGCTTTATGTCTTAGATGCATGATGTTTTATTTCAGAAGAATTAGCTCTTCTTTTTCATTTTTGATACTACTCAGTGTAAGATTAGAAAACACAGTTCATCATGATCTATGTACCTAATGCACCTTCAGTGAAAATTAAAAATTTATGATCACAGTAGCATGCCTTTATATTTAAGTGGCTTACTTTTTTAACAGTTGCAGTGAATTATTTTCCACTGCTTTCAGTGAGTACTCCTGGCACAGCTTATCAGTCCTATGCAACTAATGTATATTTAGTTTACCGCACTGCACATGTACTACAAAGCCAACCCACATTGCGTGATCAAAGAAGGGCTTCGTAAGAAGCATGAAAGTGTATTTTATTCAAGTTTCTATCTCCATGCAGCAATTCGAAGTTTCTTGCAGGCATGGGCAAATGTAAGTAAAACCTGGTTGATAGGTTTTCGAAAAAAAAAAAAACACAGGAAATAAATGTACAATCTGGGGAAATGTACAATCTGAATCCAGCAAAAAATGAGGCTGACAAGTCTATATAGAGGTGTAAGAGCAAAGAACATTTATTTTTGAAAAACATTTTTCTGCCACTGCCTCTCACCTCTGGACAAGAAAAGCTCCTTCTGCACACATTGCAGACCCTTGTCTTCATTTTCATTGCTTTTCTTGCGAAAGAAGCTTTGTAAAGCTTCCAGTCAAGCAAGAGGTTCGGCGAGTCACGTGGCCCTCGGCATCATAAACCACGCGCATCATTGGCTGCACTGTGAGTGACGTCGTCTATCTCTTCACTGCCGTGGCGCAGAGCGCACGCTGTGGAGAACCTCGCCATGGGTAGGCCACAGACAGCTATTGTACAGGGCTGAAAACAGGCCCGGGAGGCCGAGTGCCAGCAGCAGCTCTGTACTGATGATCCAGTAGCCTTACAGGCCACGCTAAATCACGTAAACCACTGTGCTACAGAAAATAAAAGTCATTTTGGGAGAACTGTTTGAAGGCTTTGAGGGGTGACAATTGAACGCAACAAAAAAGTCACCACTTGACAGCAGTCTGCCTCATGGCACTAACAAGCATGCGAGAGCAGTTTTTTGACACACCTGAATGAGAATTTTCACCCGTGGAAAGTATCATACGGTCACAGTTTGCTGCAATGTCGAATGTTGCTGCCCAATAATCGTATTTTTGGGAACGTAATAAGAGGAACGTATTAACACATAGCTCTAGGGGTCAATAAAGAAATATTTAGTTTTCGTGATTTAGTAAAGAAATATTTAGTTTTTGATTTTGAATTGTATTAAGCGGGAAAGTATCTACTGTATTAAAATTTGAGGTCCATAGTAAAGAGTGATTTATTGGAGTAATTTGGAAATAAACAGTTGTCATTCATGTATCTCATAATATAAAATATTACATAAAGAAAAATGAACATTTTGATCAACACCTAACTAACCTGCACAATATTTTTAAGAATTCGAGCTAAGGCATGTGTGCATGTCACTTTTTTTATTCGAAGTGAAGTTGGAACAACTATATATGGTATCAAGATTTATGTAGCAGTAGGGTGCAAGCGATAAGTGGTGAAATCCTTAAGTTTTAAAATTTAATTTAAGTAGCACATATAAGCCAGTGTAACAACCTTTCAAACTTTAAAGATAGTCGAAGTGGAGGTAATGTGTACATTGAACTCTGAAGTGTGGTTTTATGGCAATGCAGATTATTTCAGATAGGTGTTTTCACGTCATAGCATGCCTATACTGCAGTAACAAAACATTACATGCAGTCAAGTGTACAATTATTCACTCATTTTGAATAATTTAGGTTTTTTTCAGAGCGAATTCGAATACCATAATATTCTTTCGAATATTCGGAGCACTTGAATATTCACACACGCCTAGTTTCTTACAAAGCAGCCATAAGCGATGCGTGTTTGGTTGCAGCTCTGAAGAATTGACAGACTTGAACTGCATGGCACTGTCACCCTCTGGTTCCTTACTGATGGGTGGTAATCAGACCAGCCTCATTGAGCTGGATCTTGCCACGGGAGAGCAGACCACAGTTGCCGACATTGGGGGTAACGGCTGCGCAGTCATAAGGAGGCACCCGCGCTTTATCTGCTGTGCTGACTTCACGGGCAAGGTGCGTATTGCCTGCTCCTGTTCGTTGCTTTGAACGCGGTAGCTTTGAAATTTCGGTGTTGGTGTTGGTGGCAGCATTGGCACCTTTTGTTGTGAGCAAAAAAGCAGCATTGGCCATGAGTGAAAATTCAAAGTTGATGCAGGTAAAGATGGGAGACAAAAAATATTTGCACTTTGGCTTTCCTCGGGGGCACAATTTTAGTCTTCACCAAGAAGTGAGGGCAGACTAGCAGCTGGGAAGGTGATTGAGAGAGAGAGAGAGAGTGTGCAAGCGTGTGTTTTTGTGTGCATGTATGCAGATATCGCTATCATGTTCCACTCTTAAAGGCGAAGCTTAACCCGTTCAGACACCACATATGAAGAACTGTCTGCAGAGGTGTCAGATCACTACAACATTACTTCAAGGTACTCAGTTTTTTGTTGCAACAACAATAATGAGATAACTGTTGAATTTATGTGTACCACAGTTACTCATTCTAATTAAGTTACAATTAAATATCTCTTTATGCTGAACACATTGATGATTATTTTTGGCATCAACAGAATCGAATCTTGGGCTAGGAATATATTGCAAGAGAAATTTTCGGTTATGTCAATATTGAGCAAAGAAACATGCTGCTTTTCACATTGCTTGCAGGAAGCGCCACGTCGCATGACTCGTCGAACTTGGTAGTGCATTCAGGAAAGTATATGCATCAGTACACTGTAAAATGAAGTTATATGAAGACAAATTTATTATACAGGAGGTTCAAATCATCTAAAGTACGATATATCATGCCTTTTCTTAGCATCTACTTGATGCAAATAGTAGCTAGAATGAGTGGTGTACACAATTCTGAGCATAGCGTCTTAAAGGGTTAAGGGTCCCCTAATTTTTATACCTGCTGCTTCAAACAGTCATGACCACTGCTACTGCGACCAATGTAGGTTGAGCTCTTAACTCATACTTTTTGGTGTGATCCAACTTGGATTGAAACAGCAACTTCTCAGGCAGATATTTTATGAACCTACCTAATATGCTCAGATGCTCCACAGTACTTGCCAGACCTTAACCACAGTGATGAGAGTGTTTGGAAACAGAATTAAAATTGTACTATTTGAAAATGCTATACAGTCGAGCCCACATATAACGGCCCCACTTAAAACGAACTTTCGCTTAAAATGAACAATATCCGCGTGACGGCGAAATTATACATTGGTTCGATGGCACAAAATCGCACTTACAACGAATGTCTCCGAGCACCGCTGATCGGTTACAGAGAACGGAGTCAGTGGTCTGCCAACTTCCCGGAAAACCACTTTCGACCACGGATTGGGCATCAGCGAGGTGCCCATACATTCTTATTGTTAAACGCCGACCCTGCCTCCACGACCCTCTAGTTGCCGCTCTTCCTGACCCATGAAGGAAGCAAAGCTGTTTCCTTCCTCCATGCCCCGGCTGCTTTTTGTTACGCACACCTCCGTCTTTGGTCCCCCCGCTACTCTGAGCACCCCGCATCGCCAGACGAGGCCCATGTTTTCACACTGCCACCGATCTTTCGAGGATTGGTCACCCATCCACCCTGTTTTTGATCGCTGGTACTGTCGTTGGTATTGCCGGCCTGGAGTGACCAGACCATTTGCCAACATTGTTGGCCACCGACTGTATCCGATAGTCTGCGTCTAGCACACGAGCGTATGCTACCCCACCGACTCTGATAATTTGGGATTCGTTTCGTGTTTAGGACTTGTTCTCGCTCACTTTGCACTCGGCTCAGCATGCCTTCTTCACGCGCGTGTGGAAGGGCGGAAGCGGCTGTTAATTTTGGGAACGAATTGCAAAATATCGAAGTTCATGAGGCTATGCAGACCCGCTGGCGTAAGAAAACGATTTCTCTGACCACGGCCGCCGATTCTTCGAACACCGCGGCATGCACCGATCTATGCGGCCGTGCTTTGACTTATGCACGTGCAGGCACTCCTTCCAAGTTTTTCCACGTGCCAGTTTTGTGGACCTTTCAAACAAGCTACCCAACCTGCCTCCTTCCCATGTGTTTTCGTTTTCAAGGTAACCTCCCGCCGCATCCTCTCCTCTCTTTATCGCAACTCCTTACCCTTCTCTCGCAAGTCTGCTCTCCTCTCTTGATCACAACCCCTTTGCCCGTCTCCACCGCTCCGGGACTCCCGCCACGCTGGCTCGAGTTAGTTACCTTTTCTGGCTGGAAACAAGCCCAGTGCTGTTCCACGCGCTCTGGCATGTGTGCAACGTGTCCGCACTTTGCTCGCTCTTGGTGTGCGTGTGGGGTCACGATGGCCGACGGGAGGACTAGAATCTTTTTTCTGCTGCTAAACAAAACTTCGAAAGTGTGACCCCTTTGCTTGAGCGTAATCCGCGCGTTAGGTGACGCGTTGCGGAGCGCTTACTCATAGCTGTTGAACACCTGGCAGCAAACTTGCCACTTCGGGCGTCCAAGTATCCAGCTGTGGAGATGGTGAATATTTCATGGGCAGCAATGACGGCTACATGCACGCGAAACTGTCTTCGCGAGGATGACTTGTCGACGTCGGGCCCGATGCCGTGCCTGAAGCTTCCGAACAGGACCACTGCGGCGGCGATTTGTGGCAGCCCGTCGTCGACTCCGACCTGGGAGAGCAGGTGGGACATCTGTTGCGATGGTTTAACTACGGCCGATGATAATGCCGACACTGCGGAATCGTGCACGGATTGGGGCATTGTGAATGAAGTACGTGGCGAGAGTGATTTGGAGGAATCAGATTGCGAGAACGAAAAAACTTTGGAGCCAGGGCCTCATGCAGCTTATGCCACGGACCTCGGTGAACGAGCACCCTGCCATTTTAAAATAACGCGAGACCGCCCTTATCGCTTCTGCTCTTCGAAACACGTGCATCACAGACTTTTGGGGGCAAAAAAGTTTGTGTTTTCACTCGCAACTTTGTTTAAAAGTCGTGTTTCACTTACTATGAAATTCGGGTACAGGGAACGGATGCCGCGTCACGTTCAGGTTCGTTATAAGCGGGCTCGACTGTAGTATTTAACACTTTCATGACTGCAGAAAAAAAAATTTTCTTTTTGAAAATATGCAATCACATGAAAGTATTTGGGGAGTTGCATCTCTGTCATCACTTTTGCGGTGAAAGACAACACAAAGCAATCACCACGCATCACTTTTAAGTGCTAGGCCAAGCTCCTCACCAAGCCGTCTTCGTGGAGAGAACTCCATATGTACCCATCATGTTGGTCGAGTGGTTACGATGCTCGACTGCTCACCCAAAGGCTCGAATCTCACCCATGGCGGCCGCATTTTCGATGTAGGCGAGAATGCTTGAGCCCTGTGTACTTATGATTTAGGTACATGATAAGGAGCCCTAGGTGGTCCACTATAGTGTCCCTCATAATCAAATTGTTGTTTTAGGATGTTAAACCAATACTTAATATAAATTATTATTATTAGAACACCACCATCTCTGCTAGCCGACCCCAAGTGGTCCCACCCTAATGAAGCTGACACCTTGCACACAAGAGCTCTGACCTTTAAAACATGCCAGATAGGTTTCACATCAATGTGCAGCAGTCATGAAGCGGTCTGAGGAGAAAGTCAAGCTGATGGGCTGCTAATGTCTCGGGGCAATATGATGCCCTGCCCTGAAACATCAGGCTGCACTGAAGTCGGGTGAATCGAAGTAGTCTTCCGTGTATGTGCTGCTACTGTCATCCGGAGATTGCCGCTCAGATTCATTGAAATCTGTCGAAATTCACTTTTCTCATGGAGCATCGACGAGCAACAGTGATGGCATATTTGAAACTACGAGCATGTCTCTTCACCTTCGAAGAATTTGTAAAAATTACCGTGCAGCAGAGGAAAAAAACTTGAAAGCGAAACGGATCAAATAATATCTATTTTACCATTTAAACGAAGCTAGCTATACGAAAATATTCAGAGAGTGCAAAATTTGGATTTGTGTCCATCGATAACGTACTATCGACGGAAATATGCACATTCCCAAAAGTGTTAAGGAACCCATTTCGGGATGAAATAAAATGTACATAGGATATATTAGAGTACAAGTCGCATAAGATATAATGTCAAGATGTGAAGTATACTTGCAAATTAGTAAAGTGCACATGTTATGGTACAGCCGACACCCTGTTCAGAAAGAAGCGCGTTCCTCTTTCCATCATCTTAGGACAAGCTCCATCAGGTATCGTTCAGATCTCAAGATGTGGTCTAGATAACAGCTTGTTTCTTCAGTGCTCATTTTTTCAAGGGTACTTACTGCTGACACTTCTTTGTTTCTAGTTTGCACTGGGAAATCCTTCTTGTGTGTAGACTGAGAACACATGTGTCAACGGAAGACTGTACAGAAACCATAAAGCAGACAAAGTGAAACATTCTTCCGTAAATGGAACGTTGATCTACTATATGAAGTTTGATTTATTATGTGTGCATGTTGCAAATGTTATGCTGACCATCTTACTTGTGCTTGCTTAATTGAGCAATATGTTTTGTGCTTCAGGTCACACTGCGAGACTCGTCGACTTTTAAGGTTGAGTACACATTAGAATCGCTTTCGGAAACTGGTATGCTGTCTGACTTTGATGTGCTTGGCAACATGGTCGTCACGTGTGGCTTTGCCAACAGGCAAGTAACTCGCTGCTGCTATCCCAAATATGTGTGCCAAGAGACGAAAAAATAGAGTAATTGAGGTCATACATGGATGAAATTGACTTTGCGTCGTTGTAAGCAGTTTGTATTATTTAAAGTAGATCAGGAAGAAACTCATTGAATAATCATGGATTTATCAACATTTTTAGAAATATAGCAGCGCATTATTCATATGTTTTTGATAAAAATGCAGGAGAAAAATTGCTATCTTAGAAACTGTACAATTCAAATTGATTACAACATTGCAAATTATTTTTTTAACAATATCAGGAACATTGGCACTACGGTATTGTATGTGACAAAAATGTATCATCGAAGTTCTACTTATGTGGTGTGCTATATTGTGAATTGTCTTGATCACCTGACTATACGCAGTTCTTTCTTCAAAAAAGTTAGAGAAAGCCGGAAATGAAGAAAATACAGCCAAACCTACTTATGACTATACCAGTTTCAGCAATCTATATATGCATATATTGGTTATAATGATGAGAAGCTGCTGTACCTTCAAATTTTGTATGTTTTCTGTTCTGAAATAAATTCTTACAGCATTGTTCGTTTGCTGCAATATTGTTTATAAGAATGAATTCTGGCTGTTTGGTGTCTGTGCTGAAAGGTTATGTAATGCGAAATCCTTTGAAAAAAAAAAAAAAGAGAGAAATCCAAGCTGCCAAACCTCCGCCCACAACCACATCTCCCAGCAGTGCCCTTTTCGACCTGCTGTATGCTTCACCCCATAACAATGTGGCTGTGCAGCAAGGCTGACTTTTAAAATCTGCTACAGGGTGAGAGCTGCAGTGGCTTCCACTAATGCGTTTTTTGAACGTGCAATTTGAGTGGGAAGTTGAGAGTTTCTGTATCCACAACTTTAAATGCTTTCATACGTTAGCTCTGTGTGTGGCGGTCCTGTGAAAGCATTCAATTTTTCAGGCATATCTGAAAATTCGGTAGTTTGTCTTTCGGCACATTCTATAAATATTATAGGTTTCTCGAAACAGCCTGTTGTCCCCCACTTCGCTTTTTTCGTGCAACTTGCTTATAGCAATTATCAGTTATGACAATCAAATTTTGATGGCACTTTACTAAAAGTGGTTTTTGCTGTTACAAGACCTGCTTCTCTGTGTTAAATCCAGCTTAGATTAAAATATTGTTAAATATTCCTTAATTTTGTTGCATTTACTTTTTTATTTCATTTATATTGTCCTATCTTTTATTGCCACATTTATTACTGCGCATGACTTTTTCTATGCATGTTAGTGTAGTGTCTGCTACTACAAAGTACATAGTACATATTCTCACTGATTGAAAAATGATATCGCACGAGTGTCCATCTCAGAATACGACAGTGCCTAACATTGGTGAGAAGCAACAAGATCATTGATACAAAGATCACATTCACGCTACCTCTGTGAACACGCGAACATATAAATAATGCTAACGGGGTGTATCTGTCTCTGAATAAACAATGTAGCAGAGGGTGTTCATGCATGAGTGTGCAATTGTACACTTGTGCTTCTGTAACAGATTTCGTTACTTTTCAGGGATATTGGATGCTACGATGTCTCATATTTCATGCTTGTGCGATATTAAGAAATTACAAGGATATATGTGGTACAGTAAAACCTCGTGATAAGTTTTCTGGTAAACTCTAAAATAAAATGTGTTATACCAAAATCGTGTCAACTAAGTAGGTTGAAAAAAATAAAACATTATAGATACTCATTCAGTAATTAACTTTTGTCGAGAAACATTGAAGTAGCTGGTCAATTTGCACTGCACGTTTTTGTTTTATTTGCTGGGCACAGATGGCCACACCTGGAAGCCATCTTTTCACTCAGAACTGACACTGCTGCGACCTCAGTTGCTCTGCAATGCATAGGTTGGGGCACAGAGCAAGAATTTTTTAGGAGGCAAAACTGTGATCACTCGGGCATCCTGGAAAAGCCACGAAATTGGGCACAGCACTGACTACTCTGTCATGAAGCTCCGCAGGCAGAGAAGGAAAAGTGCGCGTGCCGCTTTTACCACGCTCTTGTTCAAGGCCAATCTGCACCGAATCACTGTTTTTGCGTCACGTTAAAGTGTGTGTGTGTGTGTTTGTGTGTGTCCTTGCCATTCCCAAATTTTAATGAAACAGCTTTAAAGAGCTCATTTTGCAGGAATGCTGGCATCGGCGTCATTGGCTTTGAGTGAGAAATCGACGCTTTTTATGACCACAAAGTCAAGATGCAAATAAAATGACCGGGCATGTTTACCTTGAGCCACCAAAGTATCTGTCTTTGCATGTTTTCCGCACTTCACGACAAGTCCAGTTAATTTTTCTTAGTGTGCATATGTTTGTGAGTGTGTGTATGTGTGTATGCGTGTTTGTGTTCCTACTTCTTGCTTCTTGAAAACAGTCACTGGGCATCAGCTCTTGGTTTCCTTGGTATGGCGTGAGCCATTGTTTCCGACTTCACTGGACCACTAGAAACTTTCAGGGAATTTCATGTCCTTTCAAGATGCCTACGGGCTGTTGCAATTCGGCACAACACGCTTTTTCCCCTTACTAAACTACTGGACGAAATGTACAAAGCACTCTTTTTCGTTGAGACGTCGGCCAAATTGGTGGCACCGGCACAACATAAGGAAGCCAAGATTGCAAAGGGATTCCATGGCCGCTTCTTAGGAACTTGCCCTCCCAAGACCACATATGCATGCGCGCAACACGTGAGCAAGGGGTGCATGCATGTGCATGCGGGAGACGTCGTCTGCTCAGGGACCATATAGCTGTTTGTTTCAAGCACCGTACGGCCTATAATTTGGGCAGTATCATTAAATAACTGCAGCCAAATTAACTGTTAGGTCTACCAATCGATGTTACAGATAGAAATTCAAAAATTTTACAATGTGTGAGGCGCTATCTCAATTTTTATGTGTCGCCTCCATAGAAGTGCATGTAAAATATGGCAACACGCCGAAAGTGTAATCTGTCAAGCTTTAGGCATAAACAGCATTCTTCCGTGGCACTATCGCGTCGCCCTCGCGTGCTGCTATGGCCTAGAAGTTTGTCCTCCTCAAATTCTTGCTCTGTGAGTTGGGGCCTGTTGGAACCCAAATCGAGCTATTATATAGCGAAGAATAAACATGGGATCTCTAGATATATCCATCAAGATCCTCTTTTGTAACCGTATGATCCAATTTTAGGCAAAAAAATTATTCTATAAAACATGAAAATGCATTAATTCCGAGGAACCAAAACATCACGGCATATCCACAAAGTGAATGATGATGAGTGGGCGAAGCAGTGGGGTCATTTGTTGTCATTGCGAATTATCTGTGACGTTGGCGACTCACGCATGTGAGTGACAAAGCGATTGTCAGTTTCATAGAATGTTTATTGGTCATAAATGGTACTGTTGTGTCTAGTTGTGAATTGCATTTTGCCTTCAATATTACTGCTTTGTCGTATCGGATCTAGCCTGAAGTTGGCGAAAGACGAGGTCTGTGCACATTCTCCTGGAGGTTGTTGGTTGTTTCAAGTCGTACGAAATGCAGCGTATAGCATATCGAGATGTCAAATATTGCACTAGCCAGTCATCGTCCGTCATGATCATTGTCGTCAGAGTCATCGTCATGGCATATAGTGGGTACCTTGTATGTGCTCTGGCGTGATGGAAGAAAGAGAGCGTGTGGTCTAGAATGCACTTGTTCTTCATCGTCATCAGCATCATCATCACGGCGTATAGAGGGTACCTGGCATGTGCTGTGCCGTGGCGGCAGAAAGGGGGCATGAGGTCTAGAATGTGCTTGTTCTTCATCGTTATCAGCATCATTGTCAATGCATATAGTGGGTACCTTGCATGTGCTGTGTCGTGGTGGCAGAAAGGGAATACATGGTCTGGAATGTGCTTGTTCTTCATCAACATCAGCATCATAATCATGGTGTATAGTGGGTACCTTGCATGTGCTTTGTCATGATGGCACAAAAAGAATGTCTAGTCAAGAACACGCTTGTTCATCGTCATAAGTGTCGTCGTCATCATCATCATCATGACGTATAGTGGGTACCTTACACGTGCTGTGCTGTGATGGTAGAAAGAGAATTTGGGATATGGAATGCGCTTGTTCTTCATTGTCATCAGCATCACCGTCAGCGGCAGCAAGGCGCGACAAAGGACAGACGTCCTTCATAAGCTGTTTTGTCCCTAAAACATATTAGGCCGAAAAATCATTATGCATTATCGAATTATCATTATGCATTATCGTATAGAGATTTTGCTGTATAGTTATATGAAGTAATGAACTGCAGCCGAGATGCTTCTACGCAACTAAGTTGTGTTTGTGTCTTTTATTCATTGACTTTCTTCACTCATGGAAGAAAAATAAACAGCAACAATAACTTTAGGCAGTAGGAAAAATCACATAAGTTTGTAGTCATCGTTTAATTCTTGCAAACCTCTTCTCTCTCTCTTTTATTATTTTGCAACAGACATGGTACAATTACAGTGGATCCATTCATAAAAGTCTATGACCTGCGTGTCATGCGGGCTGTGGCACCAATCCAGATGATGTTTCCACCTACACTGCTGCGCTTTGTTCCTGCCTTCACTTCTCGGCTCTTCGTTGTCTCTCAGGTGCGCGTGCTTCACTGTTTGTGTTTGATTATACAGTCTTCATTATTTTTACATTTGTATGCATGTGACTTTTATGTGGAGGTACATTTTGTTTTGTGACTTATGTGCAACATCGTGTAACTGCTGCAACATTTTGATAGGGGACTGCGTACAAATGAGGAAAATGGAAATTGTTGTGATGAAAACTGGTAGAAACTCTCACGCCCACATCAGCTGTCAACTTGTTTAAATGGTTGGATTGCTGCGAACGTTGTTGTAAACTGTAGAGGAAACAACTTAGACTCTGTGCGTGTACTGTCAACCGCAAACACTATAGAAACAGCAGAGCCAATGCTCCCCTTTGTGAGGTTTACCCTCACCTATATTTGTGCCCCTCTCACTGGTTCACTCTTTTTACCGAGCTTTGGCCTTGCCTATCTTGGTTCGACGCAGTCCTTCCTCTCATACCGAGTACCACTCTTGCCATGCTGCATGACCTGGTGACCAGCACTACGACAGTGGACAGGGGAGCTTTGACTAAGAAGAGAGCTGCTGCTAAAAAACATGCTGCTTTATGGAGGCTGAAACCAAAACTTGTGAAACATATGGTGGTAGATGTTCCTGACTTTTTGCCATGGCCAGAAGTGGCACTGGATAAATGTCCCAGGGCTGCAAGTACATGTATACCCAAGGAAGGGAACAGGAAACAGCTGTTGCTATAGCATGGCTGGTATGTAGTATGTAGTGAAATGTAGCGTAATACTTGCATAAATATAAGGCACTTGGTTCAGCCCTGCCAGGGGAAGTTTGTGATGTGATTTCCATTTAACCAACAATTTTTATGAGTCAGGTAAAAACTATACAGATATCATCACATATGTTATCACATATATTATCACATATGTGATCACAAATTATGCTGACTCGACCTGAAGACAGTCAAAATAATTGTATGTGCATTGTTTAGTCCTAGGTCATCGCATTTCATTCCAGGAGTACTACATATTTGCATATTCTTGAATATTTCGCTCCGCAGGCTGGTCAGTTCCAGCTGGTAGACACAAGCACACTGACCCAAGCATCATACATCTACCAGCTGGAAACCGGAGGTGCGCTTGTTCACACCTTTGACACTTCCTCATCCTGTCAAGCCTTGGCTTTTGGAGATAATGCTGGTGAGACTAGTACTGCTATATTTAAAGGGAAGCTGAAGCATGTGAAAAAACAATGCTTTGGATTGGGTAATCACATTGTCTCTTGCTGAATTTAGAAACCTATGTGAGAGTTCTCAAAAGTGAATGCATATAGTACTTTTTGGGCAAAAAAGTGTGGCTGCAGCCACAAGGCTTCTCGGGATGCTGAGCAAATGCAGTCACGTCATCTGTATACTGCGTCGTCTGCAACAGCAGCTTTTGTAGAGCTGCAGTTGCAGATGCGCAATTACCACTGATATTCACAATTAGCACCCACAATAGCGCAGAGACGAGGGTAATCAGAGAGGCCACGATTGAAGCTATGAGATGATTGTTCAAATTGTGCTGAGCTGTTTGTCGTTATGGCAGACATTGTAATCCAGATGCAGAACTTTAAGAGTCTCTATACTTACTTGAGCACTGGGTACATAAACAGTGCTCTCTCAGTTCAATTTACAAAAGTGGTGAAATCTTTCGACAGAATACAGTGCAGCTTCACCAAAGGTACCGAAAATGACCTACTAGTTCGTTTTCATGCCTAAACTTTTGGCGCACTTATTTGGGTGGAGCTAGACAAACTTTTCTTTCGTGTGTTCTAAAGCTCCTGCTGCAGCAACTGCGGAAAAACTTCAGACGTCACCGACAATAATGTCGATTGTTGTTAACGACGAAATTTACAGAATTCTAAAACCACTTCAGCTTTCCTTTAAGCAGCTCTGCACTTTTTCAGTGATCATTGTACTCAAAGTCGCTGCAATGCCTAAGCAGCGGAATTACATATTGATATGAAGTTTGAGGTAGCTTGTGGTTATAATTCTACGGGGTTTTAAAACCCGACTGCATTGAAGGGGTTCTGCGGTTGTCATTAGAACCTCAAATTGAAAATGGAAGCCAACAGGTGGAAACACACTGGGTAATAAAAGTTACATAAACGAAAGGCAGCTGCATCTGACAGACCAACCATCCCACTATGGTATACAAAGTTTTTAGGCCTATAAAACCTTACTATAGAAGCTAAACCATGAGCGAAGTGCCATGTAGCCTGTTGGGGATTTTTATTTAAGAAAAGAAGAAAAAATTTAACTGCTCACTAGATGAGGCATTCACTGCCATGATTACTGAAAGTGGCATAAACACGTAGCGTATCTTTACGTGTTAGAGCAGCTGATTTTATCAATCCCTTTAATTGCGTATTTATTTGTTTCTAGTTGCTCATTGTTTTTTTTTTCTACTTTCTCTTGATTTTTTATGCTGTGTAAGTTAGATGGCTAAGAACACATTCACTTTCGTCATGTGTTTGCTTATTTGTTTTGTTTTTGCTATTGTGCATTAGTATTTCTTTGTTTGATATCTATTTACAGGATACCTTCACCTCTATGGGGCCAGTGCTCATGTCAACTTTAATAACTTCAGCCAACCAACCGAATTCGCTGACCCAGTAAGTTGTCAACTGCCTAGGTAAACTGACCATCTCGCACATTGGTTTTAATATGAATAGTGCAACAAAGGCAATGCTTTTAATGTCTAATCAGCCAAGCTGCATTGTCTTCTCTCAAATCTAGTTTCCTACTCTAATTTTTCGATTATTGGACTTTTTATTCTTATTTTATTCTGGTTTTTTGCTAGTTCACTTGACTGGTGGGCAGAGTGCAGATTTAGTAGTACTTACCTAAACCTCAAAGCTGCCCCTTTCAGGTGTCATGCTATAAGGTGTCAGGAAAGAAGCGTTATTGCAACAGTAAAATCTCTGACCGTATTGTCTGCAACGTCATCACTTCACCTGGCGTGGTTACGTAGAGTGCTTCTCATTACTATTCATTTTCTAATGCTGGTCATAAACTTTCTTTTTACGTTAAGAGGTCTTTCTACATTTCTTCTTTTTTGTCTTTTTCATATAATGCTATGCATCCTTTGAAAGAAGAAAGTTATGTGAAATGCACTAAAGAGTATAGCCATTTACCTCAGAAACTGGAAAACACTAGAGAAATGTTTGCGACACGGCAAAATTGATGTTGAGCTGCTTATTGAGAGTTACTACAGGCTGATTTATTAATTATACTTTGATCTAGCTCCATTTTTGCTAGTCTCTTGGTTAACCTTGTTTGTGCAGCAACACGAGTTTTTCCTCATTTCCGAACCTTTCTGTTGGCTGTATTTGTTTTTTCTTTTCTTTTTTGTTTATTTTTGTGCTACTCTCGGGCACTTGAAAACTTCTTTTTGTCAATTTTAATTATAATGAGACCTTCTAAAGAACAGCTTCCAATAAATATTTCTCTGCTCGTCTGTGTCTCAGTTAATTTGTTTTTCATTTGTTGTGAATGCAGGAAGAGCCTCTGCACCCGATTGATATCAATGATGAGATAGCCCCCCTGTCCGCCATACCCATGCCCTACTGCAGTGGCAAGCTGGTCTCGGACCTGCCCAAGGAGTTCATTAAGTATGTTTACAGGTGAGTCTCCTCTGTCGTAGCATATACAGTCGACCCTCAATAGTTGAAACTCGGGTAATTCAAACATTTGGTCAATTCAAACAATTTCGGGACGTTTGGCTCACCTGCGAAATTTTCAGTGTATTTTAAAGTGGCTTCATTCAAATTGCTCTACTGCGTAAAGTTCGTGAATTCATGCTTTTTGCTTACACGTGCCTGAAAATATCGTATGGCTCTGTCACTTCTAGCCGAACATTAGTGCTTTTTTGAGCCACTAACAGTTGTAAATAAAGCTGAGTGCCTGTTTACAAAGCAGCCGAACTACCTAAACCATTCATGTGGTAATCGAGGAAGATGGAGAGAAAAAAAAAAAGTGACACTGTGCAACTTTCACTGCAGTACAGTGTTGTCAAACGGGAGAGTACACAACAAAGCAGAAAACTGGGCATGTTGGTGTGTATTCATTGTTGACAGAGAGCGTGCACTAACGACGAGGACAAGGAGAACAGAATGTGACACAAGTTTTCTCCCCTCTTTGTCATTAGTGTGCTCTCTCCAACAATGGGGAAAATGTATTGAGATTCAGATGACGCTACTAGCTGTCAGAAAACTTGCACTTTTTGCCCCTTAATTACGTGTGCATGCAGGTGCTGTTTAATAAGGGGCACCAGTACGATCAATAATGTGTAAAAACTTGAAATAAAAGCAGAGCGCAAAAATGATTGGACAACAGAGACAAGAAGACTGGACAAGCGCTTTCTTGTGTTGTCTCCCGTGTCCCATCTTTTTCTTTTAAGATCATGTAGCAACTCGTCCAGCAAAGTATTCTGTTAGTCAAAACACATTATTGGCAATCATGCAGTGCTAACTGTGACATTGCTGAGGCCATGAGAAACAAAAAGTATAACAATAGGAGCTGGTATGTTGCCCAGTTCTATATTTATAACTTCTGATAAGTCAGACTTCTTATAGGTCAAGCGAAGCTCTTAAGTATCTTCGAGTTTGAATGATCAAAGCTTACTGTATTATGAACAAATAAATTTTGAACAATGTAATATTGATAAAAATAGCATTACCGTATCATATCAAAATTGTACAATGTGTAAAAAGGTTTTTTTACATTTCTGTTGCACAGCTGGCATCTCACCTTTTCTTTCTTTAAACTTCAGAAATCTGGGCTCAGTTATCTGGACTGCAGACATTACCTCCAGCAATAATTTTTGGGCCTGTTTATGCAGGAGGCCAGTTCCGATTGATCCCGTCATCTTGAACACCATGAAAATGGTGGGCTCCATTGGTTATGCCCCAAATCCTGGTCTCTGGAAGCGCAACGAAGTGCGCTACCCACACGAAGCACACCACCGTAGGACCAAGGAAACCCGTTAGTGCTAGCACTTATTCACCACATTAATTTTGAACCAAATTGGCATTGCTTCGTTAGTGTGTTTAGTTGAGGTGCGGGAGGTTACTTGCAGGGAAAGGTGTCAAAAAGCTAGCCCGTCTCGCTTTTGTGTCGCAGTTCTCATGCGGAGATCCCTATAGGGTAAATATTCTGATGGAATTTTTGCGAATAAGTGCCCTAAAGGGATGCCTCTTTCACAGATGCTATTGATTCAAAGCTTTATAACATCATGAGCTTGACAGTAAGAAAGTCAAAACTCAGTGTCAGTGTGTGCCTTTGCATTTGTGCAGTACAATTGAGTATGACATTTTTTTTCTGTGTGGTTGTGTATCATCTTCACTTTTTTGGTGATTTAAGATCAGATGCAGTGAGAAATTGGTCTGTCACACACCCACAGTAGTAGTAATTGTGGCACTTCTTACATATTATTTATTTGCTAGTGTTGAAATCTAAAAAAAATTTTGGTCTGAGTGAATTCAAAGCAAATCATGATATAGTCAAATTAGTTTGAATTGAATTCTAATATTATATAGCATATTACAGTGGACTCTCACTTAATGGAACCTGAAGGGACCATGGAAATATGTTCCATTTAACAGGAGTTTCATTTACTGAGAGTGGAACAGGAATGCACAACGCAAGAACAAAACCAATCTTGTCAGAAGCACTTGTTCTATTTAAGCAGCAGTTCCGTTTAACAGATTTGCGTTTACGGAGAGTCTACAGTATAAAAAAAAAAAAAATAAGCATATTCATCATGACCCAACTAGCCTGCATAATAAATTTTTTTTTAAACTGAAGCAAGACATATACAAACGTCATTCTGTTTAGAAAGCGGAAGCAACATTGAATAGTAGCAGGATTCGACATTCATCAGAATTCTAGTGATAACCTGTAAATTATGTTACGTGTAAAAATTTTTATACTCACAGCATATAAGCCGGTAGTATAACAGGCTTTTAAATTTTAAAAAGAATGAATCGATGCGAGGGTAGTATGTTCATTTAGTCTTGAAACGGAGCTTCGCGGCAGTTTCGATTTTTCTTGGATTGACGGTATGGCATTTCTTTCCTGCGGTGAAACAATCTCTAAATGGGACTAATATACATTTATTCATTCACTTCAAATGTTTTGAAATTTCCAACTGTTTATACTTAAATCGACTGTCAATTCAAATACTGCAATATTTATTCGAATATTTGAATTGTTCAAAAATTTGTGCAAGAGTAGTTGCTATGAATGTCAGTAAAGAAACCTACACTGCTAGCTGCAGTACGGTATCTTGAATAGGTTCTGCTAAATCAAGGGCAAACATGAAATGAACTCGGACAACTACTCTGGAATGGAGACTCTAAATAATAAAAATGCGAGCATTTGAAAGTTGGGAATTCCTGGTGTGGCCGTACGCAAACCCGTAGTTAGTAGGGGGACGTGCCTGATAGCCTCCCCAAGGAAAAAAAAATTGTAATGGAAGGTGTGTTTTATTGAAAATAGGTAATGAAATGAGGTGTTTTTTTGAAATAGTAAAGGTCTTCAGCAAGTGCTCGCCTCCTTCCCCCCCCCCCCCCCTCAAAAAAAAAAATTTCTGGCTACGGGCTTGGCCGTATGCATTCTGCATGTACTTCAAATTGAATGGAGGCTTCAGTTTGAAACAGTATGCACACCTAAGGTCTGATTTCTGCCTTGAGAAAAGATGCTCCTACAACTAGCCGAATGTTTCTGGTGAAATTGGCATGCTGCAAGGTTTGTACGTATTTATGATTTTGTACATACTTTTAAATGATTTGCAGGTGAAGAGACTGACATGATCCCACAATGGTATAAGAAGATTGATGTGAAGTACTCCAAAATGGGCATTGAAGATTTTGACTTTAATCTCTACAATCGCACGTGCTTTGCAGGCCTTGAGACGAACCTGCCTAATGCGTACTGCAACAACATGATTCAGGTGATTTTTTTTCTGAAATTGCTGCCTCTATTTCTTTCAGAGTGACAAATACTATAAAGCCTGGAGTAGTGAAATGTGCGTGACCTTCAGTGTTTGTTCTGTGATGTTTAGTTTTTTATGTGAACAGTCTTGCACCCATGTATTTGTTGAAGTTGAATGCTGGCAGTCCGATTTCCTTCCACAGCAGCCCAGTTCATCTGGCGTTTTGATGATACAAAGGTTGAAACTATTAATTTTATTCCTCACCTTGTTTGAAAGGCAAAAAGACCATTTAGTACCTTGAACACAGGTGCACTCTTGACAATGCTGGTTGTCTATAGCTCTCCACTACTGCAGCACTTGGGCTTTGCAATAAGGTGTAAAATTGTTGTTCCCAGTGAGCAAACCTGTCAATCATCATTCACTCAAATAACATCCTTTACACTGAAATTCTGTACCAGCAGCTTTCGTTCATTATGCTGATCATGTTGTCTAGCGTCCTGCAGGCTGAGAAGTTTCTCTCTATTTTATTTACCCGCCGTTGTGGCTTAGCCACTGTAATGTACATCGGCTAAGCTGAACAACTCTGGTTTAACTCCCAACCACTGTGGCTGCGATTTTATGGTCGCGAAATACCAGATTACCTCTCTACTTACCGTATAAACCGGACAGTACATAGTGTGCACGTGCTTCACGGAACACCCCTTCGTCACTTCTGAGATGCGCCACCAACATGCCCGGGTACCTACCAACTCCGTTGCCTACCGCTGCGGTGTTGTCTCCTCGTGCTTGCGCCCGTCTAGTTTTGCCTCACGATGTAAGTTTGAGGGCTGCTAGTGAGGCAAGTTGATTTAGTAGTCCTTGAAGAGGGAGCAGAGCTTCGGGGTGTTTCTTCGTGGAAAGTTATTACCTATAATTGAGAATGCACATTGCGATTTTTCAAAAAGTACCAGCGTGTTTGGCTGGCGCGGATTAACAAAAAAACTACTTGAAGAAACTCGGTGATATTTGCGTCTTCAGGTGTAACTTCATTCCATAATTGAGAATACACATTGCGATTTTTCAAAAAGTACCAGCGTGTTTGGCTGGCGCGGTTTAACAAAACAACTACTTGAAGAAACTCGGTGATATTTGTGTCTTCAGGTGTAACTTCATTCCAGTTCCGGGTGAGTGCCATAGCCAAGAACTTACCTGCACACAGAGATAGCTTACCAAAATACTGTACATACAAACTTGTCTGGGACCACTGCGTGCACAATTAGCGTGTCAGAGAGGCGGTTAAAATCGTGATGGCGATCGTGGAAATTCGGGTATTGCATTGAAACAAACTGTGAAAATGGATGCGAAACAATATTAGTCCACTTTGAAATATAACCGATCGGTTCGAATTGGGGGGTCAGGATTTTGAAAAATTGGTCAATTAATTCCCTAACACGGTCTCCATAATTTTCAGGGACTCCAGTGTACATTAGCGTACAAAAAAAAAAGTAAAATACAAGGTGAAAAAGGTGTCAAAACACGCGAAAAAAGTGATGACCGGCATTACCGCGGCACGCACCACGCGAAGTCTCTATCTGCCTCACATAATATTTTTCTCGGCTTTTTCCACAAATTTCAATCAAAGAGGCTTAACATCAGCTCAGTTTAAAACACTTGGTGGGGGGGGGGGGGGAGAAAACGCTGCTGCTTTGGTCGTGTGAGCCGCAGCAATATATTAATATTATATCTTTTGTAAACTTGCCTAGCTCTGCACAACTCGTTTTCGATGGGAGCTGCTGTGCTTCACTCATCCACTCTTAAAATTGCGGCTCGAGAGACTTTAGGCTTTCACTTGTTCTTGGGCCACGCAATTTGTGGTGTTTGTAGTGAAAGCGAGATACTGGGTCCTCCTAGGTCGTGGCGCGCAGCCGGTGTACGCGGTGGCTGGTATACGTGTCGCACATCTTGATTTTCTGGTCTTGTATTTAGTGAACAAACAAGGCCTTCCTCATCCGATGAGCTCGTTAAAGTACGACATCAAAAAAACACAATGCTTCCCTTTGAACATTGTACACAGCAACATATGACGAGCCCCCAGCAAACCACGCTGCAACACGCGAACTGCCGTAGGTACCCAGGGACGTACCCGGGCATGGCGGGAGAGGGTGCCAACGGCAGAAGTGGCATCACATTAACACTATGTATAGGTCGAGTGGGAATATAGGTCGAGCCCCCCAATTTCAGGTTACCAAAAAAAAAAAAAAGGAAAACAACCCAAAACTGTTGAACCACATTTATTTGCGAATTGGACGCACTACACCCCGATCGTTAGAGCTCCCCTCAACCACCATCGCAACTGCTCCTATTCGTCCGACGAAGCACCACTGTCTTCTGAAGACGAGAGTTTGTCGCTGGCCGCCTCCCACAGTGTGTCGTCTTCAGTGCCATCCAGCGAGTTGCTGATGCAACATTTCTGGAAAGAATTTTCCACCATGGAATCCGGCAAGGAACGCCAGGCAAAAAGCACTCAGCCACAAACAGTCGCAAGCGAAGGCCCCTGTAGGCTACCCGCCAGTGTCTTGGGGTTGTCGTCGCACATCCACTCTTGGTATTCCAGCCGCACTCGGTCCTTGAACAGCTTGTTTAGCACAACGTCGAGTGGCTGAAGAGTGGACGTCATACCACCTGGTATCACGGCGAGGTCCGTTTTCCCGTCGCGGAGTGCGCATTTCACTGCGTCGGTTAAGTGGCCACGAAACACATCCAACACCAGCATGCTGCGAAGACGCAGCAGTGCACCTGGCCGACGGTTCACACCACTATTATTCATTCGAGCATGATGGCCTCGTCCATGTGTCCCTTTTTGTTGACGCGAACAACAAGAACGGGCGGGAACACTTCCATCGGCATTGTCTTGCTTTTGAAAATGACGAAAGGCAGAAGCTTTCTACCATCTGCCATGCATGCCGGCATGACAGTGAAACGCGAGTGCTCTTTGACAGTGGACAACAGCTTCACATCCTTGGCGCCGCGCTGCGTGATCGTGGTCGACGAAAGCATGTCAAACCACACAGGGGTCTCATCGGCGTTGCCAATCTGCCCCATCATGTAGTCATTCTGCTCCCGAAGCCAGTTCACGAAGCGCTGAAAGTTTATGAGCTTGTCCTCGAACTCCTCCGGCAACTTTTGACAGATGGATGTGCGCCGCCAGAGAGAAAAATTCTTTGCGTCGCATAAATCGACGCACCCAAGAGTTTGGTGCACGAAACTCTTCTCTCGTGAGCCGAGCTTCTCGAGGGAGTTCCACGACTTTCTTGCAAATGGTATCCACAGTCATTGGCAGCGAGCGCGCACGAACTTCCCGCCCAAAGTCTGCTAGCTTATCCTCCAGCTGCGGATGAACGGAACTTCGTCCACAAAACGGCATTTTTCGAAGATTGCACATCTGCAGCTTCCCCTTCTGCGCCCTCCAATAGCGCATGCTTTTTCCGATACACCAAAGTGGCGCTGAGCAGCCATATTCCCGTTCGCTTCCACAAACTCAACAACATCTAGTTTATATGCAGCTGAGTACTGCCTCCTCGCACTGCTACTCATTTTCAGTGAACGAAAAAAAAAAAAGACCACTAAAAATGCAGGGCAATGTCAAGCGGAGAGAAAACTCTGAACAAATCGAAAGCAAATCACGAACACAAAGAAAACTGACAAAGAGAAAAAAAGAAACAACCTGCGATTGGATTTAGATGCGGATATGGCCGCATCCGGCTTCTCAAGCACATGCGAGCCACATGTTGCCAGACAGTGGTGCACTTTAGGCTAGACACCGCTATATAAGACGAGGGGCGACTTTAGCTTATTATTTCATTGAAAATATCTCGACTTATATTCCCGTTTATATGGTATCTATACGTGCACAATAAATAATCCTGGGTTGTCAAAATTTATCCGGAGGCTCTGAATATGGTGTGCCTCAAGGTTATGTCTCGGTTTGGGCATTTAAAAATGAAAAAAGATTATGGCAGCTTCGTACTAGTAATGTTAAGCTTGAAGAAGAGCAGAGCTGAGTGGCCTTCCTTATTTGTTTTGCAGTTTCTTTTTTTTTTTTGTTCTCTGTCTGTCTATTTCTTGTATCTGTTCCTTTCTCTTCAGCTTGGTTTATACCTCCCTCTCTCTCTTTGTTTCTTTTTACTTCCTTCTTTCTCTCCCTTTTTATGTCTTTCTCGATTTCTTACTTCCTGTCGTGCTCCCTGTTTTCTCTCTCTCTCCCTCGTGTATTTCTACCTATCTTCTTCTATCTTTTTCTCTTTATTCCCTTTATTCCTCTCAGTTTTTTATTATTTCTTTGTGTTGCTTTCTCTCTCACGTGCTTCACGTGCTCCAACTTTGCTGAGCAGAGTTTTCATTTAATGCTCGCACCTGCTGCGCTCATTAGGGCAGCTTGCCCAATTCACGCGGCACATGTTCATGTGTGGAGTATTGTGCGACTTAGCACAAGTTTATTAAACAGCTCACTGGTATAGTTTAAATTACTGCCCTCTTTGTTTGCTGTTCCAAAAAGTATATTGTCATGTGGCTGTGACGGTGTCAAAACCAAAACGCAGCCAGTAAAGGGGAACGTCTTCATTGTGCTGACTTGCGCCCACTGAAAAAAAAAGTAGCACTCAGAGTGCAGCAAAAGCAGCCATCACACACATAGGTTGTTGATAATCTGATCAGCGGTAAGCGACATCCGCATTTGTACATTTAGCACAGAAGATTCCAGCCTGATCGTTTGTCGTTGCATTAGTTCCATAATTGACTATACTGTTTGTATTGCATGCTCAAGCTTATCGGAACAATCTGAAATAATCAGGAACGTTTGACATTCCAGCACGGTCTGCACAAGGCAGTGGTTACACTTGTAAAGGGCCAGTTCGTGAAATTTAAAAAGAAGTGTGTACGGCAATATGTATTTTTGCTACTACAATGTGTTATTGTAAAGCAATTTCTTAGATATTTTCTTGAGAGATGCGCCTATTTCTTTATCTGCTTTTTGTGGAGGTGGTAACTGGGTGCCATTGCTTTCACTCCCATAGGATTTAATTGCAGGATTTAATTAGCGTGGTTTTTCATGTGCTTGCTGACAGGTTCTGTACTTCACGGAGCCCTTGCGCTGTGCCATCATGAACCACAGCTGCCAGCGAGAGTTCTGCCTCGCGTGTGAGCTGGGCTTCCTGTTCCACATGCTGGACACTGCCCAGGGAATACCCTGTCAGGTCAGCCATGCTTGATGGTGTAATGTTTCGCTTTGTTACGTTCAAAGAACACTGCACACAGACATTTTGCCCAAGCTGCATCAGTGGTTCATACTTTTGGAGTTGAAAGCCAATTTCATTTAATTAGGATGATTTGATCAAAGCCAAGTGACAAAATATGTGCACTTGATGAGGAAATCCTCTTTGCCAAAGGAAGCCTAAACACAAGCTTGCTCTGTATGCTCAGATACTGCGGTCTACTAAATGTGCAAGAAGAGATGTGAGAAATCTCGCCTATGACTTGCACATTTGTCGTATAGTGTTCCCACTTGTCACGGCAAGAAATATTGATGTTGCCAAGCACATATTTACACCTTCCTGGTACCTTTTCACCTTAATATTCATTGTCGTCTGAACATAACTTGCAGCATCACTCACTGTGTCTGTAATTTTAGACCCAGTTGCCAAGTTTGTAATAAAACAGAAATAATTTGTTATAACATATTGTGTCACATTGTGACTGATGTCTCTCATTTTGAGATCATGCAAGCCCAGGTGCAATTGCTTCCTAATGTACAACAAAATTTGTATTAGTGTGTCGAATCAGCTTAAGTCTTTGAGATTGAACAGTGGAGAGCTGTACTTACTGTTACTTTTGTCATATAATCAATGCTTGTTTCTTTGTGCACAGTTTGCTCAGTACAGTTTGCTAAATTTCTAACTGACACTTTTGGAAGTGTTCGGTTTCTCGCCAATTCTGCCAATGTGTTTATATGGGGGCAACGAATCTCACATAATGCCATTGACATTAGTGAGGTACTGCATCGGTTGAATGTCGTGTGAAAGTCAGTGCGTGTCAAGAATAAATCATGATTTATTCTTCTGTGTAGCCACTGTTCCTGCATGTGAAAGCACAAACTTTGTTGATTTTTTTGTAGCTTTAGGTCTTGGTGAATTGTTTTCATTGTTTCCTAGTGTCCCTGTATTGTGCATATATTTTTTTTAGCTCCCATTGTTGTTGACCTTCAAGGGACCTTGAGAGCCAAAGCCACAGCCGTTACCTAGCCATTCAAACGAGACCATCCGAGCAATTTATCAGAAGTTTAAGAAATCTTTCCTGGCCCCTAATCGAACGCATTACTTAAGTGGAGTACTGTGCAAAAGCTTAGAAAAACATTGCTTCCAAGTTCTTATTGTCTGTTAACTGTTCTTATTGGCTGCAGCTGTAGCTTTAAATCAGCTGAAATTTTATTTGAAGTTTCGAATTTGGACATTCTAAAGACAGGTACCGAGCACTATACACTTGATTATCATCTTTTGGCGCTGAGAAAGCATTGCTTGTGCTCTTTTCAGTGCCAGCAGTCCATCAGTTTTGTGGTACAAGTTTTTTTCTGCCCCCCAGGAGATTGCACCCTAGTGCATGACCGTGCTGCCTAGGTGGTGTTCGGCCAAGACAAGGGTTTCAATGATTATTACTTCAGACCAAGTTCATTCTGGTACAGTGAGCTTTCAGGCGTCCATTGCATCATGGCGGCATACACTAGGCAAGGAGGGAACAGGTGGGAAAGGCAGGGATGTTAATTAGTCTAGAACGACTGGTATGGTACCTACACTGGCGGCAGGGATGAAGGAGTTTGAAAGATGGAAAGAGGAAGAGAGAGAACGCACATCACAGTAATCATCACACCTTTAGTCTATAACCGCCGGTCCAAGTTGTTTGTTGTCTTCAAGAAGCTGAGGACTGCTTTTGTCGCCTTCACTCACGGTGACCTCTCTGGATGACATTCCAGAATGGTGTCCGCTGTCATTGGTCTGCGATCTATGCGAACTAGTGCAGCTGCAAGTGATTTTCTCTGTGCATTGTGGCAAGGACAGTCGCAGAATATGTGCTGTAATGTCTCTTCGCTACCACAGTTGTCACAGAAGGGGATGTTAGCCATTTCGATACGAAATTAATCCCATGAAGTGTCTGGAAACAATGGCATCTGTATGAACCAGGGTACAGCACGATGTGGTGTGGTGTGGTGTGTGTCCTTGCAAGCATACATTATACTCAAGTTAAGGTAGTGGCTAGTATAATTTCTAACCTATCTGCCTTGCTGGCATCAATTTCATGCTTACATTTACTCATGACTACAGAAAAGGCAGTCACTTTTTTTATTTGTACCCCTTCGAAAATGTTTGCATTCAGGAAGTCTGAAAGCTCATATGGTTGCAATGTCAGCAGTATCTGAAGCTCAAGGTATGCAATTTAATCTTGCCAGCAACAGTTATTCTTTAGCCCAACCTTCTTAATTTGTGGAATAAATTGTTCATCCACTTTTGCAGACAATGTATTGTTTTCTGTTAACTTTAATGTGGCTGTACTGCATGAGGACACTTTTTGGGGATCTTGGAAAGCCTTAGAAGTTTTGAAAAGTATGATTTCGAATAGTGTTTGCTTACAAGATTGTTTGCCAGCTCTGTCACTGAAAAGGCAATGTCGGCATTGGTCTCTTATGCAGGCAAGCAACTTTCTCCGTGCATTTCGCACTATTCCGGAAGCATCTGCCTTGGGCCTCTTGCTTTCTGATTCCGATGATGCTCGCAAGAAGGTCAATTTCCCACGACTCGTGCAGAGCTGGACACGATTTGTGCTTCAACAGATACACTCAGTGAGTGGAGGATGTTTTTTTTTTTTAACTCCTTGGACAGCAGTCCTTGTGTTGTGCGCTGCCTTTGGGAAGTAAATAATACACAATAAGCATTCTATGGGAAGTAAACAGGAGTTTTCTTAGCAGTAGTTTTTTTGAAAGCTTTATAGAAGCTAGTACACTTAACTTTCCAAGCTCGAATTTGGAATAAAATTTCTAGGGATGTAAAGTAGATTCCCCAAACTGTCATATAAAACTGCAATCAAGAGAAAAGGTGCACCAGGATATGAGTAATAATTTTGAGAAAAAAGTGTACCCGATAGAACGTCATCCGTATGTTGCCATTTTGTACAATTTGTTTTCACCAATGTTCGCTATCTGAAACCCAGAAAATGACCTATAATACTGCGGTACTTTTTTCGTACCTGTGGATATGTTCCTCAAAAACCACCATACTTCGATGCCAGTATTTCTTATATTTGCAAATTACAGCTGTATAATATTTCCAGTGCTATTATACAACTGAAATCGTGAGGCACATGATTCTGGTGAAGGGTTTACTGTCCAGAGCAGTGGCTTCGAACCATATGTTTTCAAGATACTATAGTCTGTTTTTCATTGCATTATTTTTTTTAGGAACTGTGGTGTCTCGGAATGAGGCATTCCCTTGGAACATATGGATACAGCAGGGACATTCAAAGCAAACAAAACGTTACATTTATTGAACTATTTTTACATCGACGATATCATCAGCCGAATAAAATTCAGTTGAATCTCGATAAATTGAACTCGAAGGGGCCCAAAAATTTATTAGAATTAAAAGAAGTTCGAATTAATGAAAGCTAAGTAAACAGAGGGCTCCCTTTGCAGTGGCGCATGTGCATTGAGCTAACACACAAGGGGGAAGTTCCGGAAGAGTTACATTTATTTACTAATCACAGGACATTTGTCACTAATTGAAGTAATTGGTGATGTGCGTCTGTACATGTTTGCCTTGCAGCGAGTCAATCGATTTTGCATGCAGCTTGCAAAGCTTGTCTGCTTCGTCTTCAGCATTCTCCTGGCAAGAGAAGTTACGCGCGCAATGTCGAGCGCCGACACTCTCTAAAGACGACGACAACAACGACTGCATCTCCGCTACTACCCTCTGCGCCAAAGCTGCATTGTGGCCAGCACGTGACGAGAAAGGAGGAGCGTCTCCACGCAGAGAGAAGCAGACCGTCTTTTTTTTTTTTTTTGCTTTTGTCACATGCGTCGCTGAAAGAAGAAGGTTTATGCGGCAGGGACGGGAAGCTTGGCACCAGTGCGTGAGAGAGAGCCACACTCCACGACATCTTTTTTTTTCTCCTGTCTCTTTGCTCGCGGTGTCGGAAGGAAAAGGGTCTTTACGTGGCAGGAGCGAAAAACGAAGAAGCGTGCCTGTCGCAGATCGGCATTTGAGAGAGCGCAAGCACTCCACTGCAGCCTTTTCTTTCCTCTTCCTTTTCTTCTCGTGCAGCGTTTAGGTGTCGGAGGTGCCACCGCGGGATTGGGCGGGGTGCTCAGAGCATTTTCGGAGCGCGGTATGTTCGAATTAATCGTCGCAAGTGCTTGTGCGTTTGAATTACCGGGTGTTTTTTCCTATTGGAATACACATCACTTTGACGTGACTTCATCGTGGTTTCAAATTAACCAGAAGTTCGAATTAAGCATGTTAGAATTAATGAGATTCAACTGTATGTCATTAGTAATCAACACGGTAAACTACCTTATACAATATTCTAATGCACTCAATCAACATGCTAAATAAGATAAGGTGAAGGTAACGTGAAGGCGGCATCACGGATGTTCGACTCACTGCTAAGAACACACTAGAGACGGCTTGCAGTCGCCGCAGATCCAGCGGGACCCAGTTAGGAGACGATCGTTCATACCAGCCGCCACCCAGCCTCACCGCCAGGCGTCACTGCTGACGCTACCGCACAAGCCATAATGATGATGATGGTGAACCCTTTTCCACCTACCGCTTGATGGTTGTTAACCCTAAATGCGGCCTATTCTCAAGACATGTGTGCACCACGAGGGGCAAACGACATTACAGGGGGTGATAGCACCCCCCCATTAAACTTGTAAATGAGGTTCTACCATTTGGAATAAGCCTGCCGTTTTTCAAAGGTAGGGAGAGTGAGGCAAGTTGGTGTGCACCTACTTTGTAGACAGCATTGATTCAGAGATTGCTCGTAATGGCAGTGTATCTTTACTCTTGGCTTAGTGATGGAAAGAGTAGATGAAACACAAAATACACAAAAGAAATTAAGCAGACAATTAACACAAGATTACTGAGGCTGCCTTTAATTTGCAGCATACACACCTGAACCCTAATGGCTTCTGCATCTTGTGTGTTTTTGAGCAGAGGCCTTTACTTCTTTTGTGAAGAATGCTCCCTTTTATTTCAGGAAACACCAGAAGTTCCAGATGATGACATGCAGAAAATGGAGTAAGGCATGCCTTATCTCTTTCATCTACATTTCTGTTTTGATGTCTTCTCTATGTCAGCTTTGACGATTGGGAGCCAAGTACTATGGTCAAATTCGCATTTTGTTATTTGGAGTGCACAATCATTAAGTTATAGAGTTTACCTGGCAGTTACACTACACACATATAAAAATTTCAATGCACAAAGTAAACCATTCATTGCTAAAGCAAGCACACTGGTAATCTTTAGCTATTATTGCAGCTGAACTTTATGTGAATGTAGGCCGACTGTTTTTTGATTTCTATTGATCCTAATGCATCCTATTAGCCATTTTGTTTTTCCCGATGATTCGCCTTACGTGGCTTTATCACAAGCTGAGTGTTCTCATGATTAGTGTTTCATACTATATGTGCTTTAGCCTAACAGATAACGAGGAAGTTCTGAGTATAATGTCTCTATCAGAGAGATCTTAGCTGCTCTACATTGCTTGTGCTGAAGCTCACCATATATATTGTCAGAAGTGTTGCTACTCAAAGTGCAGTAGGCTGAGGAAGCCGAATAGAAGAGATCAGTGGTGTGTTCACATTATGAAACGCCTTTGAAAGAAATGCCTGCCTGCCATTCTCGGGGTGTGGCTGATCTCGAATGTGGCATTGCAAGCTTATTACGCCCCAACTCATGCATCCACATTTTGTGTTTCACAGCATGCATAAATAAAAAAAAAGAGAGGAATCAGTAATTGCTGTCGCATAGATGTAAACAAGGACTGTCGAAACTGGATGTGTCCAATCTAAAACGGGTTCCAGAATAGTCGGGTGTATATTGCCAATTTAGCACTAACAACAGGTGGTATGCTTCTCTACATTGCAGTGTCTGAGGTTACTAGTGTGCTTCATTGTAATGTATAGCTGAGTAGCCTGTGAAGGCCAAAGCACACCTGTCGTTATTGAGCATTGATGCTCTTGATGCATGAACCTTTCATATCTTGAGATTTATGCTTTTGTTATGTGTCCTCCATGACATGTAATTTTCGTCCGATTGCAGTATTGTTAAAAGAAGCGCGTTTGCAGGGTCACATGGTTAAAAGTACATTGAAGGTGGTGGAGAGCATTGCGAATATATACTACTATGCACCGTACAATGCTGTACAATGCGATGATGAGCAGTGCAGGTGTCTACACTGTGCCTGCGCCAATCGAACCAACCACCAATTGTTGCTCTTCCCTCACTGCAGAAAAGCTGGCGAGATGGGCAGCCAGGTGAGCAAGCTCTTTGGCTGGACGCTGCTCAATTCCAACCAATGCCGTTGCGGCAACATCAGAGAGAAAGAGTCAACCACCCTACTGTGCTCCCTTGTCTATCCCGACCCTCTGCCACCTGGTAGGGAGCCCTTGCATGCCTTCTTCTTTGAAGGAAATGGCATGATAGAGACAGGGACACAAGTGAAACAAGACACAATGAAATTGGAAGTGAAATTAAAGCTGAAGAGTAAATCAGTTTAGGACAAAAAAATCATCGCCAATAATTTCGTACTAATAGGCTTATTATTAGAAGAGAAAACAAAGGTCAAAGCTTAGCTTTTGAATTTCTCACCACAAGCTCAGCATCTAAATATTATCATGAAAGCACAGATTTTGTTGCCTTCTTTTTGTTCTTTGTTCACATTAATTCAGAAAAATTTTCTGGATTTTGCCATGCTAAGTTCTTGACTCCCTCGGAGCTCAATGTAATTTGTTTTTATTGATAAATAATTGTCTACAGCATAGCAGGCACCGTTAAAATTTATGACATCTCAGGAAATTACATGCGACGCTGCCGGCTCTCTGTTTCTGGCACATTTTCTGGTTTACCAAACGTTTCTTCATGGCCTGTGTGGTGCTCTCGGTTTTGTAGAAGGGTAATTTTCTAACACGGTTAAATAACTTTTTCTTGTGTGTTTCTGGAAGTATTGCACACACTGCTCCATTTGTGTTCTTGCTTGTCGTGAGCTTGTTCTTTAACAATTGCGAAGCCGCTGTAGCTTGCCGTAATGCATGTGGTGTCACCAGGAAGCCGCTCAATTGGGTATGCACCTCAGTAATCGAGAAAGCACCACTATCATGTGCAGTGGGTGCGAGAGACAAACGAACAATTGCAAAGGAGAGAGATAAAGAATAGAGAGAAAGGGAGAAAAAGAAAGCAATAGAAGAAAGAGGAAGGGAAAACTAGAAAAATAAGGGGAATAAAAAGATGAAAATGGAAAGAGAAAGAAGCAAACACAAAAAAGAAGGAAAAAAACAGATAGCAAGACAGAAACAGAGAAGTAGAGAGAGAAAGTACTAGAGATAGAGAAATAAAGATAGAAAAAGCAAGGATTGAAAACATAGAAAAAAAGTGATGCAAAAGAGATGCTGCAAGCAATAAAGAGAAAGGAAGAGTAGAAAAAAAGAAAAATAGAGAGATACCAGGAGGGCCACCCAGCTTCACTTTCTCTTCAGAATTTGCATTACTAGTGTGAAGCTGCTGTAACTTTTTTTTGTTTTTATAGCATGAAGTTCTGAAACCTTATACAGCATTCAGTGTTATGGGAGCTTTGAAGCTTGTTGTTAATGTGAATGTCTCTCTGTTCTCCACTTGTAGCCTGCTGCAGTTCTCCACGCATGTATCCTTTTCCTGGCTACGTCACGCTTCGTTTTGATTTCCTTGGGTGCTCTCATTTTTTTCTTTCTCCTTAACTACGCTTCCCTGCACACCCTGCTTTGTCCTGCCCTCTTTTGCTTTTTTTGTTTTTTGTCTTGCATTTTACTCACCTTTTCTCGTCCGCATGTTCAGAGACTGTTGGCTGTGAAAGTTGTGTGCTGACAATTCATGAAAATAAATATTCTTTGTATAGTTTCAGTGAAACAACCATTCGTGTACTTTATTTTTAATAGCAGTTTGTAAATGTCGATGTTTGCCCAATTTTCGAGGTCACATATGATTCGGTTTTTGGATGAGTTAAAGGTGAGAAAAAAAAAAAAACTATTTAAATTTCGTTTTATAGTATAAGCAATACAAAACATTTTCGTGAAGTTAGGAGACCACACAATGAATGCTGCATGTATGCTCAAGAAATTCACCAACTAGTTCTTTTTTACGCATCATGGGGAAAAGAATGTTTGAAGCAGGTTCACTGTGGTGTTCTTCTTATGAATATGCACAAATTCTGGCACTGACTGGACACCTGATGCATGTGAATATTGAAATGTTGTCTTGAGATGCTTTCATTACCATTATTTGTGCAGGTTATTATTTGAGAGCCATGGACAATGCTAGAAAGGCATAAAAAAAAAAGAAAGGAGGCTTACCTTGCCGAGTCGAACCACAAGTCGAACCTTTGCAAAGTACATTTTGTGCATTAATTTAATCCGTGTTCACTGTGATACTGCAAACAACATAGTTGTAAGACCAAGTGTAAAGAGTGTGGCTGAAATTGCAAAAACTGGCAGCATCTGTAATGTGCCTGAAACAAGAAATGTGTTTGTAATGTACACAATAGCATACACAGTGTCAGAAAGGATTAAAGCAATTGACATTTAGAGGAGGAGTGGTGGCTTATAACCAGGGAAGTTCTTGGATTTTAGTGAGTAACTTTTAAATTTCAACCTTACTGTTGCATGCATGGAAACAAGATTTGGCTTCGATTCCTATGACAGCACCGACTAGTGATTGAGTAGTTTTATTTACCCTTTCCTAATATTCATAATTTGAGTGTATTTGCTACAGTCTGTATTTACTAAGCCAGGCTCATTCGGGAATCGTCTAACCTGATTGTGAATATTGCTATCAAAATATAATTAACTGATTACAGTCTGCTAAATGGAACAGAAAATGAGTGAAAATGAGCTCCTAAGTGTTACTCTTCCTGGCAGTCATTACTAACTTTTCACTCCTGCTTTCTTTTTTCTCCTTCTTTTACTGAGTAGTACATCATAGCGACCTGTTTGTCATAGAAACCTGCTTGTCTTCCGACAAAAAACTGTCAGTTGCTGTGTTTGGAGATCGCAGGTTCTATTACAGGTTCACATAATTTATAACCCTGTAATCATGGTGCTGTTTTCTGCTGGTGAAGAATGTTAGTTATCATTGTGTGACAGAGTTATACAAACTAGATTACTTGCAAGTTTTAGTGTTCATCTATAGGAGCATAACATATCTTTTTTAAAGACTATAGTTTTTTTGGGAGACTTTGTTGCCAAATTTTTGGCCTGCCTGTCTGTACATTTGTCTGTTTGTCTGTCGTAACGATACCTCAAACGGTCAATCTCATTCTCAGTGCCCACCAATATTGCTTAAGTTTCAGTGTTCATACTGTACGATTGTCAATTAAAAAACAATTATTGCGCATATCTGAGGCACCATAACTACAAGTCGATATTTTGTATGTGTGTCTTTATACTATAGAAGGCACACACAAGTAATTCTAAGGACCATAGTGTTTATCACGCTGCGCTGACAGTGCAACGCGATGCTCAAAAAGGCAAGTGTTTCCAACGCTTTGCTAAGATGACACGATAGTGGCACCTGCCTGTTGCTTTGCGTTCTACACCTTATCACCTCCGAGACAGGCGTGCATCTTTCTCCATAATCGTGCACGCCTTCCTTCGTTTTCGAAAATAACTGCGAGATAGCGCTCGTGTCTAGCGTGCCTCGATGCGCTCATTCGCCTTCGCTGCACAAATCGAGACTCTAATGCAGGGCTTCCAGAATACAATAAACCGATTTTCTCGCACAGAACATCAAATAAACATTTTGTTCACTCTCTCCACATGCAAGACTATAGTCTTTCGACGACATTTGCAGGGAAACATGCAGATAAGGGGCCAATGTTTTCTATCTAGAGTTTCCAGTATGCCACGTCTGCTGTCAAGTGTTGGAATAACTTTTCTTGCTTGCTGCTTTGAATTTTCTCTGTCCATTCTGGACAAAAAGGTGGCAGATGTGCCGGGAATACAACTAAAGCGCCATGATCAACCATGTATGAATAGTGTTTTTTTATTGTCTGGCCATCACTTTTTAACCTGTTTTAGCATTTTGCATCCCTGGCATTGCCTTCAATTTTTAAATCGTGCCACACTTTTCGACAGTTGTTTCTACATTGTATGGTATCTTAGCTTGCTAACACCTTGATGAAAGTTAGCTTTTACTGCCGGATAATTATCAAATGGTTGAGGCGGCCATACAGTCTTTTCTGCATGAGTTGAAGTGTCGTATTGACACAGTGTGATTTCAAGTCAGGCATGCTGGCTAATCCTTATGCCCTCCAAATTGTTCGGGGCGCACGTACCTGTGAGACCCAGCTGCGTGCAGCTCGTGCGGGACACAAAAGAACGTAGCGAAGAAAGAAGTTAGTTCTTGGGACTGCTAGAAAATTTCGTTGTAGCTGTTTCTCATTCTCGGGCACAAGTTCGCCCTATGTTAATTTATTAAAGGTGTATTTGAACTGTGGGTCATAGTATATACCACCACAGTAGCAAAACATATTTGTGAGTATTGTCTGTTCTGGACATTTGGTGAAGAGCAAGTATGTATTGTCATGAGCCTGGGAATTCAGTGTCAAAAGTGTTTTCTTTTTTCTTTTTCTTTTATATTCAATTACAATGAAAGATAGTTCATTCGACCCTCATTAATTTAAAAAATAAGACAATTTGGATTTGTTTCCCGGTCCTGGCCAGCATATACATTGTTTAATAACATCAAGCTCTCAATAATTTGGTCAGACTTGGCTGCAGCCTGGCCTATTTTGGACGATCCTCAGAGCATGCAAGCACGACGCACTGCCATATGTGCAAGGCAAAAGAGCGAAAACAGCATTTGCAGACAACCATGAGGCGGCACTGTCCATATCACTACAATGCAGACCGCTCATAATGTAACCGCTTATGGCGCGAAACCGCTTACAATGCAGTCTCTTTCTACTCCCATATACCCTCCCATAAAACACCATGTATACGCATACTGCTTATTGTGTGCTCTCCCAAGATGAAAGGCCGATTATAAAGCGGTTGCTGGAAATCCTTTGCGACAAATGCAGTAGCGAGTGCGGTTTTGAAAGGAGGCCCACTAGCTGCGCGCCGCTGGGGAGCGAATGGCGAGGTCGTTACGGAGGAGGAGGGGACACTGAATGATCGAATTATGGGTGGAGGGAAGAAAAAAAAAACGAAAAAAAAGACCTCGGGACATTACATGGCCTCGACAAGTAAGGGAGGAAGACGGTTGCCCCGGTGATTGATAAGCCTTTGCACCGGCACTGACATGCTTACCATAGAGTAATATAAAAGGACAAGAGAGGACACTTCCATAGGCCCTGCGGCTGATTTGGGTTCGCAGCGCACCAAATGGGTGTGGTGAAACTTTGCAGCCTCAGAGATGGCAGATTGCAGAAAAGACTGTCTCGAAGGCCATTTCGTAGTGACTAGGATCATTATACAGTCTCCAAGATCACTTCTACGTGCATGCTCATCTCTGAGGCCATACTTTAACTTTTTTTTTTATGCATCATTTGCATGCATCGATGAGCTTCGTGTGAGCTGCACCGCTAGAGCGGCAAGTGAAGGATGCAAATGTGTGTCTATGCACACAATTTAGTTAAAACATGGAATCATTGGAGGAGCGAGAACTTTTATCTTCAAGTGATATTCTTGGTAAGCACATCCCCACTTTGTTAATGTTTGATAAACGCAAGCACAAAGGAGGGTTCATTGTACTGCGGTACATGAAAATACAGCTGCCATATCATGATTATAAATTACACACAAGAAATAAACGTAGAGGCAACAATATAAAAAAAAACTGCAGCAGAATAAAACTTCAAATAACGCACACCACTACACATACAGTGCACAACGTGACACGGCTGTAGTTGCCTCAGCACTTGACTTTGGCATGAACTGAAAGAAGAAAAAAAATGTAGGCTACGTTTTTTTTCGCACCTTCGCCCTAATTTTCTCCTGCACACTTTACATTACTCTTTCGCGAGAAACAGCCACAACCAGTTGCCGCAGAAAAAACAAAGCTATTTCAGGTGTCATGCAAGCCGTTAACGAGGCAGGAGTGTTTACTCAGTTATGTGCTAGGTTTAGCTAGCAAACATTTTTCTAGATTCACCACTTTTCTCTAATTGCGCTCGTTAGTGCTTTAAGCTATTTGCCAATGGCACTGCGCTCAACGAAAAGATAACGCAAGCAGTGACTCATTTTCTTGAGCCAAGAAAGAATTGTCTCGCAAACGTGCTGCGAAGCATTCCTGACATTTTTTTTTTTCGTATAAAGCAATCTACGAAAACAGTAAGTGAAGTGAAAGGCGCAAAAAAGGTCTTTATGCCGAACAGCACTATGCCAGAAACGTTAAGTTAAGGCTCCAACGACAAATGCAATATGCACTTAACATACTATTGATGGCATTCGTACCTACCAGCAGCCAAGCTGAGAGGCAGCCGAAACAAGTGAAGACCACGACACACGCCAGGCACGTTGTCGCACCTCTTTTATGGTATATTCCTGCTGCTGCCCATACTTCTTCATTGCCGCAAATGCTGATCAACACTGAGCGTGACAACGTTGCCGCCGCGTCGACGCCATGTACACTTCTCTTGCGTCCAATGCATGCCTGTTCCCAGCCCAATGTTATCGCACCGCAATATCGCAGATGATAAAGACGAATTCGGGCCACTATCACATATGAAAAACACGTAGACGTCTAATGCACTAGAAGAGGTACTCTAGTAAATAACTAGTACGCGTGTTTCTTTGAAGCAATGAGTGATGTGCTGCCATCTTACGGCTGGGGTGAAGCTGCGTAGCTCAGCCGCTTTTTTGCCCGAGTCACCACTTTTGTCATTTTTATGTTAATCTATGCACCTACAGCGTACTATGTCGCTAGTGTGGCATCGGCTGCGCACCACTCAACGTGGCATGTGCTATCGCGTCCTTATCAACTACATGCGCTTAACAGTTTCCTGTCGAGAAAGAAGTCATTATCGCGCTTGCAACGAATATTGCGTTTGCTTCTTCGTCCGTCCATGGACGTCGGATTCAGCCCAGGCGGCACTGCGAAAAACGCCGCCACCAGCGCCCCCATCGCCACGCCGGCCATAAATGGGTAGTGCACTGAGAGCCGGCCGCAAGCGAACGTGCATAGGCCCTCCTCTTTCTTTGGTCTTGAGGCACAGTTTCCTGAAAATCAAGGACCTGGCAAGCCGACCTAGCAAGCTGCTTCTTTCAATCCAACCTCGCTTCATAAAAGTAGGAAGCTTATCAAAATGAAATGCAGGGGCAATGCCAAAGATGTTCATTTATTTGGTCATGCTGCAACTGGCACTTTAAATGCAAGCAAACATCGCATGACATAGAGTTTGAGGCAAGCACTCCGACGATGTGTGGCCATACACATGATACGAAAGCGATGAAGTGCATACACGAACCATCTATGCGATCAGTGGTGCGAAGCTCGTTTTATCCGGCATGAATGGCCCTGGTGTTTTTCGCTTTGCAGTTGCATTCCCCATCGATCTCTCACTTCCTGTGCGTTGAACTGTTTTATTACGCATGCTAGAACTCTCTGTTACGGCTGTCATCCGTTTGTATATATACTACAAATAGGGATACATGCGTGTCCACTTTCTCAGTGTTCAACGAAAGGCAGAACCGATACCTCCGAGATAGCTCCGGTAATCACGGAGACCAATGGCAAAAAAAAAAAATTGTGGGTGCGACCATTTTGCGATCAACCTGTATGACACATGTGTGGGCATTTTCTTGTTAAAGCCGGGGCTTAGAGCCTTCAAAGCCCTACGTGCATAATGCTGTGTGGTGGCGGCAACTTCTAATTATCAGTAGTTGCGGCGTGAGCGATGTTTATCGCGAATGTCACCTGTCTACTGTTGCACTTCGCGCACCATGGTCAGTAGGTATGTTACGTTTCATAATCAAAGTTACCGCGGTTCTACGTTAAGTCTACTCAAAACAATAACAGGAAACCTACATTGTCGCTCTTACTCAAGCGAATGGCTCTGGAGAACGCGAGTAATATCGCTTGCCCAACACGTACGCAACAGCCTGTATTTAGCGCTATCGTAATTCTGCTTTGCGAAAGCTGCGGAAATCAGTAATACTGAAGTCATTTACGTCCTTGGCAATCCACAACGCAACAGTAGCGCAGAATGGGGTCTTTTTTTGTAGAGCGAGGAGCTATTGCATCTGCTCTTGTTTTCACCGTCGTTCAGGCGAGTGAACCGGCAAGCACGTCACAGTGGTTCGGTGACGTGTCTGACTAGCGGAAACAAATTTGTAGCTCTTTTTCGGAGTGTTCAATGTGCAAATACTTCTAAAACTTCGCTCTACTTAGTTGTTTCGCGCGCTGTAGTTGCACCCGATTGCACAGCAAACTGTGCAAGGTAGTCGGGCTTTGCACTACTCAAAACTGCATCGACAGGTGGCGCTCCGAATCCACAAACCTCTAGAGTCAAACGTCTATTGAAAACCTTTTACAGTTTTATGACGCGAGCTTTCACTTTTGCTGCCAGTGCGCTGTCGTACGTAAGCATGCCGAGTTGTGACCGTCGTTACTGATCTCCCGGCCGCGAACGCGAACTTCGTATCACGCACGCGGTTTTTGGTTCACTGCCACTGCGATATTTTTGAGGCCGAATTCTCGTGTTTTGGGCAACTAAGCTAGGCCTAATCAGCGTTGGTTGCGCTTCGATCAGTAGCGGTCGCGTGAATCTAAGTTGCGGTTTGCTACCAAATCAAAGAAACTCTTTGCTGTGGCCACACTTCACGGGAAGGGATACATATCGTTAATAAAAATGAGAGCAGCACTTGCAGCGCTCAAATAGTGGTTTGCGATTTGATTTTGATGTCTTAAATTGTGTGTGCGCCCATGAAATCGAATGGTTGGCGTCTTTCAACGCATCAAATTCTGGACGTGATTCGACATAGTTTCTATGTAATGTGTATAATCGAGGTGGTCTAGTAGTAGGCGAATTTCCGCGATGGTGCTTTCATTTGTTAGACAACTCCCCCACCCTTTGGCATTCGTTTCATTGGCAACGCATGTCTTTAAACGTTAAATTCTTTTAACATTCAGAAATTTATATGTTAGCAAACATGCATTGCACATTTCGATTTTCGGACGCGCGAAGCTGCATGTTTACACGTTTTGCGCAAGTGAGGCCCTTGAAAAAGGTTGTTTCGGTTATAATGCGGTACCGCTTATAGCACGGTATTCGCGACTTACGTTATAATCGGTCTATACTGTATATCAATTGGTGACCAGGGTTTTGTCTGCATCTGGATTGGACGCTCAGCAGCTTCGTTTCAACTTGATGAAATGCGCACGCAACGTCACAAATCACAAACATGGTAGAAACTGTCGAAGATGATGAGTTTTCAGTCGTGATATGCATGCTGGCGTGAACCTCGCTTGCTACATTGCCATGAACAAACTATTGGTTGCTACCTTTTTACCTGCAAAAGAACTATAGTCACGTGTGCATGGTAGTGCTGTTAAGTAAGGTAAGGGCGCTGAGCACATTTCAGAAAAATTGAACATAGAAAACTGGTGCTGTGGTTGCATAGAGAACCAAGTCACAGAACAACAGATGTAAAAACTTTTACACTGCTTTTAGGCAATGTAGGTACAGTGTTCGTCAATCCATCAAGAAAATTAAGATGTATTAATGTAGAAATTTTTTGATAATCTGAATTATTCGGCATTCTGTTAATTTGTTTATCTTTCCCAGTGCTATGAAATCTGGATGTTTCTAAAAGTATGTATATATGCTTCAAAACTGCGAATAATTTGTGCATGCACAGAGCAAGAAAGGCGATTCAGCCATACTTTATTGCTGGTCCTATGATGTGACTCATTTACAACTCCCATCCTCCAACTTGCCCTTCACAGTTCCTGAACGTGTCACACCTCACTATCCTTTCACTGAGATATTGAAGCGAAGCCTTTGCCTCGAAAGTACCATGCCAGCCTGGTGTGACAAATGTGAGAAATACCAGCCCACGGTACGCCAGTTTCCTCATCCACTCTTATTGTGTGATATTATTATGCATATACTAGCCTAAATGATACTAAAATTTCTTGTATTACTTGTCAGGTAAACACATTTTACCGAAGCAGATGCTTCCTTTAGCTGGGGCATACTGTTTACTTCCGTAAGCTTATGTTTTTCTTGTATAGCTGAAAGGGCTGTATAACTTGTGTTTACTTATGCCTCTTTTAAAAATTTCATTCTGTTCAGAGGATTGCCCTGCTTATAGCCATGTATCCATCAATTTTTTAGTTGCAGCACAGAAGGATCACCATAAAACAGCAGCAAAAAGCACCAGACTTCACAGCTGTTCATGTACTTGTCTTTCTTGCAGTGTGTCCGAATAAAAAGCTATGCTACTTGGCAAAAGTAGCCGTCGAATTTCGAATATTGGCACACTACTAGGGGGTGCCAAGGAATAAAGGTACACCACGTATATCCATAACCAACAGAGGATTACATTGATGCAAATGGGAAATTTTTAGGGCTGTGCGAGAACATGGAAAATTTAGGTTAAAGTGCAATTAAAGCGAACAGTGATATTTTTAAATGATCTTAAATTGAATAGTTAGAATAGTATATATCACATAATGAAGAGATAAATAAGCATAATTGTCATGACCTCATACCCCTGCAGAATATTTAATGCCATTCTTTTTGGTTCAGATTGAAGCGGAAGCAACTTTGAATAGCAGCAGAATTTGAATTTTTGTAGGGTACAAGTGACAACAGATAAAATACAGTGTCTTAAAATTTATGGTACTTGGAGCATATAAGCCCACATAGTGGGCTTTTGAAGCTCTAAAATTTAAATTCATTACGTAGTTTTAGTTTATTATGTTTCTTTGACTGGGAAGTGGGGCTGCGCGGCTGTGTGGATTATTCCCAGGTAGCTGCTTTTTTTGTCAGCATAGCTCTCTACTGCAGTGAAATTGCCCCAACTGGGGGAGTACGTACAGATTTGCATATGCCTATGCATTCATTTTGAATACCTCAAAATTTCTGTTAATATGAATTCACGTCAAAGTGAATTTGAATACTGCAATGTTCATTCGAATATTCGAAGCCCAAGAATATTCGTATATACCTAGAAATTATGGAGGATAAAAATGGTTTCGTTTATGCAGGACGGTGGAGATTGGTGTCTCTATGTGTGAGATTTGTCATACAGAGGCGAAATATTGTCAGCCATTATAGTAATGATCTGCACATTTTTCAGCTACAAAGCAAGAGGCTAAAGTCATTACCAGAAATACTGACTGTCAGCTCAGGTTTGGAAAATCAGCAGGACCTCAACTTCTGGCAGACACAAATTGAGGTGAGGGTACGGGCTGTGCGTGGATCTCACATCAATGCCTCTTCCTTCCCTTACACTTGATTGTAACTGTATCTAGATTTTATGTTGATGTGTAATATAGTGTAGCCTGATTGCTTCGTTTCTATAGAAATGTTTGGTGCTTGCTGATGTGAATCAGTAGCTAGGTTGTTCAGCTGATGAGCAAAACAATCCTCACTGTGGCAGATGTATGTTAATGCACTTTAAATGCAAAAATGTTCTTGTACCTATCTTAAGAGTTCTTTAAAGAACCCTCTGCATTGGTTTCAAAGAGTCATCATTGATGAATTAAAGAAAAGTCTTACTGCTTTAAAAGGTTGCTGAATGAGACACAGTTGTGCACAGATAGCATTTGCCACCATTAGTTAAAGAAAGCTTTTTGTATAAAAGACAGGTGTCATAAGAATATTTCAGACTGTCTGCCTCTTTAAAAAATTTTAGAGCTTTCTTCTGTGGTCCCACTTACAAAGAGTAGTAGAAACATTAACTTCGAATAATGAAAGTTTTTGAGAATATTTAAATACAAAAACCTTTTGAGAATTGTTATGTTTAAGCAGTGATTCTGTTTAGCGGATTTACCGAGTCACTACTTACAAGATATTTTACTGATCATTATTGAGATATTATAGCATTTAAAGATGACAAATCGAAGATGACAAGTAATTATACCTTGATTGAGTTGCCAAGTTGCCACACGTATATGTACTTTGAAAATCAAGTCCCACCTTGTGCATAAATAAAATTACATCTACAGTTTTACTCAAAGTGACAAGCAATCACTTGTCCAAAACGTTTTCTACTTTGACAGTCTAAGGTTCCTGTAAGCACCATTGATGTTAGTGATGATAGGTGAATGTGTTGCAAAGCATTTGCTTGGGCTAGTCAGTTCATTACAATCTGTGTCATTTCTAAAATACCTGCAGGCCACCTTAAGAAAACAAGAACATGCATGCATTCATTGCTGGCATAGAGCGTGAACTGAATATTTTCAATTGTGAGTGGGCTGGTAGATCGATTGGGGCACATTTAAGATCATACATTTCCAAAGGGAGCTTACGGTTTAACAGAAATTTTTTATATGCAAAAGAGCTCTATGACTAGCCTGTGTAATGCTGTCCCTCAGTACGAACGCGCCGTGTGCCGCAGGTGTTGGCACGGTGCCAAGTTGGTCACGCTGCTGCTGCGCCTTGATGTAACACTCCCCTCGCAGTGCACACTGACGTCACTCTCTCCCTCGCCTGCTGCACCTGCAGCTGCCGTCTCGTCTGTCCGCTCGCAACACCTGCGGCTTTCTACACCGCCAACTCATTGGTTCACGCACAATAAACTTGATGTGCACCTACTGTACGCATTCAAACATGTCTGAACGTGTCATCTACAAGACCTACGCCAGCCATCATTTCAAACAATTCTTCCAGCGCTTGCCACAGCATCCACGTTAGGGCTGTTCAACCCGTGATGCCACCCGTGTTCAATGCTGCCGCTTCGCATCCCATCAGAATTCCCTTCAAGGAGATGGTCCAAATTCTTTTAAAATCAATTCCTGCTTCCTTGGTCTTAGCTGATGCTTTGTGCATGCTTGTCGACAAACAGTTTTAGCTTCTTTTTTTATTCCTGTGAGGCTTCCTTAACAACAAATTGTTTTCAGATGTTTGGCAACAAAGACAGCAAAGCAATGTCATTCTGTTCATCGGCTCCTGTGCCCAAGCGGTGTCGGTACGGTAACTGCTGCACTCGGGCTGGCTGCAAGTTCTTCCATGAAAAAGACAAAGGAAAGAGGTGAAAACAAAGCCTGTATTCACTGTCACTGTTCCCACTACTCCTTTATCTATGCTGTGCACTGTTCTGGATACAATTTGCCTTGTAATACTGTCAAATGGCACTTCCATGTCCAATGCCAAGAGTGTATGCACAATCGAGCACATGACTTTAATTTATGAGCTTTGGAGTGAACAAACGTTCAATTGTTGTAAGGGGTGCCTGCTGCTTATACTCACTTAGCTCAGCCTAGCCAGGTGTTTTAACAGGCAGAGTTTTCAGATTTTCAACATTATATAATAGTTGCACTCTATAGTAGCTATCATATTTACTTCATTGTAAGTCTACTTGAATGTAGGTCGACTGCTTAAATAGTACGACAAAAAAAAAACGTGATTGCATTTTGTGAAGGATATATACGTCGACTTTCCTCTATCACACACTTCTCTGTCTGGTCTTCATAAAAAGTAGTGATAGAATATTGCATGTAAGAATGTATCGCCAGCAAGCTCTGCAATGCGTTTTGTAATTTCAAGAGAAAGAAAAGACAAAAAAAAATAATGACGAAGTGGGCAGAGATGGCTTTACGGCAGTGTTGTACAACTCTGCAAGGAAGCTAGCTTTGCAGCAATATGTGGTTGTAATAAAGAAATGGTTCCGCGAGTCATTGCTGAGACTACGCATCATAAAAGAAAACCACTAGGTCTGTGCTGAACGGGCAGCACAGTCACAGCAAAAGCTGGAAGAGTGGCCTCTTTAGAGCCTCTTTTGAACACTTTGGGTAACTGCTACTTGCACAGTACGCACTACGCCATAAATCATCATGACTTTTGTGCAGTGGGGAAGCGTCCACTATGCCATTATTCGTCATTCTTCGGAAAAGCTTGGTACCCACTACACCCTTATAGGGCATTATGTGGGCTTTGTTGGAGCTGGGGCTGACGACAATGAAGAATTATGCCTGAGGCTTTTGTAATGGATTAAAACATTCAACAACCTGCTGATTATGTAGTACACATTGCGTGACACTTTGTTATTACTTTGCTATTTAAAAATGCTGTATTACACATATATTACACGTATTAATGCAATTCCTTACTTGACATGAAGCCTGCCTTTGGTAAGTTTTCATTGGAGTTTCAAGCACTGGCATAGCTCAGTGGTAGAATACTGGGCTCCCATGCAGGGTGCGTGCATTCGAATCGCATTCTGTTGTCAGTATTTTTTATTCATTTAATTTTCTTTGGTGGTAGTGGTTACGAATACCGGCGGCAGTGTCCCTAGTTGGGATCTCTTAACAGCTTTCACTGTAAAATGCGAGAGAATATGGTGTATGTTGTATGTGATGCAGGAATGCTAACGTTATGTCATAACCATGCCAAATTATTTCTGATTTCACACTTTTCCTACCTTAACTAACTGTACTAGTTCTCGTTTCAATTGTACATCGACCCTTAAATTTTGGATTTCATATTCTTCGTACTGACATAGTATAATGCTTCTTTATTGTAAGTGACGTGCTTTCAGAAATCAGAAGATTCACAGTTAATCCTTCCTTGAGTGGTGTGGAACGAGCGTGGGGAGGATGAAGGAGAAGCAGGGTGGAGTCTAGTTGGCTACTCTACACTGGGGAAGGGGTATAGACATTGTAGGTGTGCAGCAGTGGGACATTCATGGCATGTGGGCAAATACTTGCCGCGAGACCGGTCGTGTAGTTGTTCCTGTTTGACTAGTCTAACCAAGCAATCAGGTAGTTCCACAGGTATTCATGCGTCATATGTTAATGGTGTAGTTGAATGTCTCTTTTGCTTTTTCTTCTTCTGCTGAAAGAAATGTGGTTGCACTGCCAAACAAGTTCTTCGCTTTAATAAATGTAGCATGATTACACAAAGGCTCCAGAAAATGAAGAGAAATAAAGGCTCACATGGGCACATTGTTGTAAGAAAATGAATTCAAGTTGCAACAGCAGGTTGAAACACTTTCGTAGATACCTAGTATGGTACAGTTTTTTTTTTGGAGAATTTCATGGTAATTCGTGTCACTTCAGGTGAAGGTTAGGGACGAAGTGTTAGGCGAGCGCATACATTTGCTCTTTTAATGAGCTTCCCAACTATACTCCTTTCCACACTGTAATGTCATCACACATCTTCCATTGCTTACACTTTCTCGGCTCTTCTTGACAGTACCTTTTATTTCGTATTTTTGGCTCATATGTACAGTACTCACGGATTGAAACAGGACAGTTTAGGGCTATGTGAAGCATTCATTTGTGTCGCCCTAATTTCAAGTCATATCGATGTACTTTCAATTCAAACACATCAAAGCCAACATTGTCGTTAGAGACCAGATTTGTAGGAACATTAGGTAGTCATCTCAAGCAACTGCGCATACCAGTCATTATACAATGCAGTCCACTTATAATGATATCCAAGTTCCAATGAAATTTCTTTTTTATAACTGATAATTGTTATAATCGAGTTGAGAAAAGAGAGACAAAAAAGAGGTCAACGCATTTAATTTGCATGCAAGTAAGGCAATGTGACTATGTGCTTGTTTGTAGAAAAGCTGTAGTCTGTCAACTTTAATCGCTTCACATGAAGCTTGTGCACATCTTTCTCGCATGAACACGGCCTGGGCTCCCTTGACAGGAGTGAGCTCACCTGAATAGCTTTTCAACAGTATAGTTGATGGTTCCAGGTGTGCGGGCTGGAACTTCCAGCAAAATGTGTTCTCCGAGACAACAAAGACGCTCACGCCAGTGTCAAGGTTCATTTGCAGCAAAATTTCATTCACTGATACTTCGACACGAAATGACTGAGTGTCCTCTGCACCTTGTAGTTTCTACATTTTGTATACCTGTGATGCATCAAGCCGCTTTTCACTTCTGTCGCTACCAGTGTTGTCCACAGCGTGCAAACTTTTTCTCCCAACCAGCGGCGCCTGTCCTCTAGAGTCACTGCACCTTTCTTCCCCTTAAACACACAAGAAAGATGGCCCTTGGGCTTACAGTTGTGGCGCACACTGTTCACTTGAGGCGCACACTGGCGCACACATGGCACATGTGTTGCCAGATGCTTGCCACTGTTGCCAAAACACACAACTCACGTTTCTTACTGCTACGCCTTCGACGAACCACGTGAAACGGAGTCGGTCAGCGCGATGAACGGCGCTGGCACCATCGAAAGGGCGCGCGAATCTTTGCTCGCCGCCTCGATTGCAATAACGCTTTTCTTCGCCATGTCTAGCACCAAGTCCGGCTGCTCCAGCAGTCGTCTCTGCACCACTCTATCGTTAATGCCCACCACGATGTAGTCACGCAGCATCTTGCCACAAAAGATGCTATACCCGCAGCCGTCAGCTAGTTGGTTCAAAGATAACTTTGAACTTCGTGACGACAAGTGCGTTCCAAGCCCGCAGGCATGAAAACTAGGCAAATTTATGTACTACCTATCATTCCCATGGTCACTGAATGATTGCAGCGCCAGAGTCTCCTCCAGTTAATCTTAGGAAACTCTATGCTTGCTACGTATGGCGCGATGTCCTGCATAAATATGGGAGCACACACTGAACTCGCTGTGATATGGTGTATACGCACAACGATCGCCTCATCACTGAGGCACTCAAATGTTACTGCAACATCCTTTGCATGAAGCAAGTGGTCCATATGCTAGGTATCTTCGTTCAGCATTGACCACAACTGTGACAGCTCTTTGTCGAGAAGCACTTCACAGGCTTTTCCGGGAATATTTTCAAAAGTTCGGTAGGAAAGCTCCTCTCCTTTTCCCTTCCTCGTAAGCGCAGACAACTCATTTGTTGAGAGTGTGAAATGGGTGCGGCCCACATAGCAGCGCATGCCATCAGTGCAGAGAGCCATTTTCAAGGCGAGCTGTAGCTGGATACAATCACTATGTCCAATGTCACGGCTCTGGAGCATAGAAGTAAGCGGTTCATTTTATCATCAAAAGCATACAAATGGAGATTGTGCTACCGTTGTTCATTGTTGTATTTGATACATTGTTATACATCGTATTGTATAAGTGAACTCAATTGTAGTAAGAAGTTTGATGTCTCGTAATCCTGTAGAACGGCACATACTGTCATTGCATACGAGCTGAACATCGGGTGCAAATCACAGCTCATGTTCTTTAATCTGTTCTCGTAGGTATGTGGCCTGCAAAGTGGATGTGGACACAAGTGTTCAAAGTGCCTGTTCTTGGCTTCCCTTGTCTATACTCATCACACTAAATCACGACGGAACGGTGAACATTTGTCGAGCTGACTGTAAGGTCAGTAGTGAGGCCTTTTCAACAGTGTTAGCTACTATTACATTCATCAATCCCCCAATTATTGGTCGTGCCAGAGAATGAGCCTACATGCAGACCTTTATAAGTTACTTCGGTCATCGACGTGAAAGTTAGGTGCTTTAATGTCTTTCATGAACTTGTTTTGGTTGCAAAGCAATAGCTGTTTCAATAAAGATCTGTAGTGCTAGTGTGTTTTCTCTGACATACTACAGTGTCAGTGTCAATCTGGTAAAAGGGAATAAGATGAGGCATCACTGGACAACCCTGAGATAAGAAATTCGAATAGCACTTTTACTTCTGGGAAACTAATTGCTCGTTTTTTAAGTAGTGACACTATGTGACAATGTATGCCTTTGTGAAGACTAGCTTATAAATAAATTACATTTACAAGAGCTGCCAAGCAGGACCTCAGGCCGAGTATTACCAGTGGAAGCTCTTTCTTCGCCTGACTTCAAGCTGCACTTAAGGTTGAAATAGCAAAAAGGCATTGAAACATGCTGGGCAATATTTATATAAATTTGAAGTTATGCTACCCTTTGTATATATTTCCTTCATTCAGGGCAGAAAAGTGTAATAGTTGCCCTGCTTATCTCTGCTTGCACTGAATAGTTGGTTATATGTAATTCTCTGAAAGTGTATACCAGTGAAAATGGGAAACACAAGCAGGAAGAAAGATGACATGTTCTTGTATGTGCTTCGTCTTTTCACTCACAAATATGTGCTTCAGTAAACGACGTAGAATGGAAACTAATTCTTCCAGTGAGCTGTAATGAACTTGGTTGTCTGTGGCACGTGCAGAGTGAAGCGTCCACTTCTCAAGACGCAAGCTCGGACCCCGGGAAAGACGACAGCGTGGCTGTAAAAGTCAAAGAGACGAGTGCGGAGAAAGGACAGGCTAGTAACAACAATGAAGAACATGACTCTGAGATGAAGGAGAAAGGGGGTAAAGTTGAGGGCCAGAGGGAAGAGGCCAAAGCAGTCCTGTATGAGTTGACATCGGTGGTGTCTGTGGTGAACAACAGCCGCACCAACATTGTGAGCTGCATCCGGGTGGGGCCCTCCTACCACATCCATCACCAGGGGGGACCGGCCACCCAGTGGTACCTCTTCAACGACTTCACCATCGTGCCCATTTCTCCCGTGAGCTGTTCACCTTGTCATTCCTTGTTATTGTACAATGAAGCTCTACTACTGAGTGGAAAACTACTGAATGCAATACTGCTACTGAATGCAATAGTGCAAAACACAGAGGGATTTCAATTTTCAATGAAAAGAAGCATTGTTCCCACAGCTGCGTAGCCTGAAATGTTGGTTTTGACGCTCAAAAAGCCTGTTGTGCGGACCGATTATCAAGTTGTCTAGTACTGTGTGACCGTTCTGAACAAATTGAATATCAAAAAAGCTTGGCTAACAGAGTACTTCACTTGCTGTGCCCAAAGAGCTTGGCTATTGCTCATGCCAATCTTGACAGCCAGCTCTTGATGAAGGCCTTTATATATATTGGGCTCTTGGTATGGCTACCAGTTAAGCTATCAGGCCGTCCAGGCCTTATATGAATTTAAAAACCATAGTTCTGGATTGCAGTTTGTGATTAGGAGGGCCTTTTGTATGCTTTGCCTTTTTACTCTGTCATTATCGTCACTCCTCTTGCGTTCTTCTTGCCCTAGGTCTGAGTAGCTAGCTAGAAGAATGTACTTTGGGCCAAGATATTGCAGAGCATGCAAATGTGTATTTAGTTTAAACGAGCTTGTTCTTTTTTTCTTGAGTTGTTTGAATAAAACATTCTATTTACCTTCACCTACTTTTGAAATAGCTTTGGTGCTTATCCTGACTGTTTTATTTACAAGTTGGTGCTGTAGAAGAACCAATCTGGAGTCATCCAGTCAGCTTGGTTAGCCTTTGCTCATAATAACTATTGATGACATTGCAAGCCTAAATTTCCGGCATCTTAGCTTTCAAGCTAGCAAATGTGGCGGTGCATATTCTACTTATCTCAGCCAACTCTGTAAAGCATAACAGTGCTTTTTTAGCATGTTTTGTCTCTGTACTTTCTCTAGGAAGAAGCTGTATGGCTTCCTTTGGACTGGAAACTACCATGTGTTCTGCACTACACAGTTGCTGACAGTTCGAACAGGTCTCACGAAACAGGTGTGAAACATTTGCTGATTTTTTACTTGCCTGTGCCACTGCTCACTATGAACATTGTTCAGTTTAGGTGTTGGGCTTGTGGGTCAGTCAGGCCAAGCTAAGGACCAAAATGTCACTACTGTATAGCCAAGAAAGTCCTATCGATTGCATTACCTTTTTGATTATGATTATGGCAGTAATGCTTATTAAAACAAGGCATGAACAACCATGTTTTGTGTTTGTATTGTTACGTTGAAACCTTTTTTGTATCAAGTTTTGGCTGTATTCAGAAACAGACATTACCTTGATAGTCTCTACCTAGTGTATGATAAGGCTGCCTGTCCGTGGAAGTGTTGCACTTTAATCAGGCTCCTCAGAAGTGAATAATTTTGCACTGGGAGGGCTTAGTTATGTAATTACAGCTCGGGCATTGTTGAAGAGCCCTACTGTAGAACTGGAGTCACCTCTACCCTGAGACAGCACTGCCGCTTGCCTCGTGGAGCGGAGCTGGACTCGATTTTCAATTCCGTGAAAGTTTTCGTTGTTCGGAATTATTCCAAAAGCTAAATAATTTAAGTTTGAATTGGGGAGCTCTTACTGCAAGAAATCTTTCAAAATTGATTTCAATGAATGTCTCAGCGAGCTCAATGAAAAACAAAGAAGCAGCAACCAATTGTATAAATTTTTTACCAGCTGTCATGTTGGGTGGCTTACAGTGTTTTCAACAGCCCACAGCATTAAGAAATTTTATTATTAAGTCCTAAAGACTTACAGGTACACCTGTGGATCAAGTTCAGTTCTGTGTGCTAACTCTTCATATTGTCACGTGCTTGTGGCAAGAAAGCAAGAAAGACAATCATACAATTATGCATGTGCTCTGTAGGAGAGTAGGAAGGCAAAAAAAAAAAGGGCTCACTTGGGTGTCCTATTAAAGAGACCGACTTGCTTCTGTTATCGATCTTTGCGTCAAGACCTCTGTTTTGACGTCATGACAATATGAAATAGTGCAACGCAGTGAGTGAAAAGGGATGGTGTGCATAAAGCAATTTACCCCATTTCTCTGAAATGCCTGCAGTGAAGGCACCTCTGTCAGCAGACGTGTTCCAGCAAGACATCTCCTTAGCGGCAAATGGTGGTCGGCGCCATGTCACCTTCACTCCGCTTTCACCGAGCGAGATACTGACACAGGGTGACATTGTTGCTATGGATGCAGAGTTCGTCACCCTAAACCAAGTGAGCAATGCGAGCCATTTCTTGGTTGTGAATCCGTGTAGATATACAGCAGGTTCGATAAGTACTGCTATGCAAAGAGCATTATGCTTGAAATATGCACATTGTAAGTAATGTGAAGGCTTCATTTTTCAGTGTAGATGCTTGACATGCAATCATCATTGCGCATACTAGGGTGCTATTCATTTTAGCCAACAGTGGTCTATAACTGGTGGTGAATGTTGACATGCCGCTTTTGTTATGAGCTTATAGAGTGTTTCTGACTGCAGCGATAGTGTAGTGAAAGTCCAAACAAGTGTGGGACCACCCATTAATAAATTATATCACCAAGGCAAAGCACAAACATACTAATCCCACAGCACAAAAGGAATTTTATACTGTACTTTTGCATGTGTTTACAAGCATTCTGTGTGCTTCAATCATTCTTGCCACCATGCTGCATTACAAAAACAAATAAAACTGAGTGTACCTGAATATTCACTCATACGCTGCAGGTATTTTTTAACAGACCATACTAAGTATGGTCTGTCCAAGTTCTTTCTCACTTGCCCACCATGGAAACTCCAGCTGTGGCATGGAGCTACGACAGGAAGTTATAGATTTTAATGTCAGCTTTGGTGAAGATGTAGTGATAAAAGCAGAATGCAAGAACACTTTAGTACTATCTATTTGGAATGCGTAAACAGCCCTCAGGTAGTCAGAGCTAATCTGCAGTCTCCCACAATGTCATTTCGATATTGGCATGTGAAACCTCCAAATTTAATCATTCATTAGGCTTGTGCAAAAAGTAAATTTTAGGTTTGAGCCAAGTAGTGATTTGTTCAAATAATTTTGAATCAACTTTGAATAGCATATATTACATATTATAAAAGAAAATGAGCATATTAGTTCTGACTTGACTAACCTCCACAATACTTAATACAAGAATGGAAACTTGGCATGTGCAAATGTCATTATTCTTGGTTTAAAGAAAGTGGAAGCAACTTTGAATAGTAGCAGGATTTGACTTTTGGTAGAATGCAAGCGATGACCGATAAAATGCATCGCATTTTTAAATTTAGTACACTTAGGGCATATTAGCCAGTATAACAAGCTTTTAAACCTCAAAAATGATGGATTATGTGAGTGTAATATGTTCATTTAACCTTGAAGTGCAGCTTTGTGAGAGTGTGGGCAGCGTTTTTTTTTTTTTTTTTTTAGTGTAATCATGGTGCAGCACCTCTCCACTGCAGTGAAACCACCTTTACAGAGGGTGTGCAGGTGGACCAATATGCACCAATTCGTTCATTTAAAAAGTTCTTCGAAATTTTCAATGATTCAATTTCTAATCAATTCGAATACTATAATATTCTTCTTAATATTCGAAGTGCTTGAATACTTACGCAGACTTATTATTTATTATTCTTCACACGCCTTTGCCATATCCTCAAAGTATCTTGATGATACAGTGGTCAAACTTGTCGTTAGAGTGCCTACTCGTGCCTGAAGCTTATTGAAGAAGCCCATAGCAGCCTTTTATGATAGATAACAGATGAATGTGGAAAGGTGCACGAACACTGAAGGAGACAGTAAATAATTTCGACTGGTAGTGTGTGCCCGACCATGCATAGCTAGCATAGAGGCTTCAAATCGTGAACGAGTCAGATGTCTTGATCCGGTGTACGATCGCTACAATTCCTCCTAATAACTTGTAATGCTCGGGAGAGAAACATAGCTATGTTACAGAGGTGGTGAAAAATGTGACACTACGTATTACGTCCAGAGTTAGCACACATGTTCTTTTGGCATGTTCTCAGGAAGAGGCGGAGATACGAAGTGATGGAACACGGTCTACCATTCGTCCTTCCCACATGTCCGTTGCCAGGATCTCGTGCATTCGGGGGTATGAGGTTCAATATGTTTCTTTTTTCTGCATGAACATCATTATGCCTTACATGTCATAGTGTTTAACGAAAAGTGCTTTTTTTCTGTTTCTTGATACCTCACCTCTTATCATACAGTGGCAGTATGCATTACTCATGCCATCTACATGTGATGCGCCCAGAACACTTGGTGCCTTATTAGCACCCGAGTTTCACCATTGACGAGTAGTAGCAACCTTAATGGGCACCATAAGGTAATGAAGCTAATGAAGGTATTGGAGACATTAATTGTACTGTTGAACATTGTACTGCTTTAAGTGTATTTGTACAAGCTATGATATAGATCTGAAGAACATGAACTGAACAAGAAGACAACTTGTTTCCAGCAGGCATCAAGTTGTCTTTTTGTTTTGTCTTCACTACATTCTTTACATCTGTGTAATAATTACTACAATACACTTAAAATTAAAATTAACGTCTACTATACCTTTCTTGGCTTTATTACCTGTTGGTTTTCATGATGGATGTGTCAAGCAAAAAAAGTAGTCTTCCCAAATGCCCTTCTTTCATTCATTTACTTACTAGTAATTTATTCTAAAATATTATCACAGTCATTTGTAATATGGGTTACTTGAGTGAGGAGTCATTGCACCTATAGATAATGGTTTTTAATGGTCTTTCAGGGTAGACACATTAGCAAACTGAAAGGCCATAGCTATGGCTTGCTGCTGTAGTTTCTAGCAAGAGCTAGAAGCCTCAAGCTTGCTTTGGCTGTGATGTTTCAGTCTTGTGTTACATTTCTGAGTCAAACTGATTCATATTAACTGGCTGCATGCTACCGCTCACATAAACTTACATAAATTCTCTTTTCTCTATAACCCAATAGTACATACGTGTATACACTATTTATTGTATGCACTTTTGGTGGTTTAGTTTTCTTTGTCCTGTTATCACTCTGGTCACACCAGAGGGCGCCAGTACCCTTGAAAACATGTTTTTTTGTTTATTGTCTCAGCTCCTCCTTTCAAGGAAATGAAACTTGAATTCTCAGGAGCATCCACATTTCACATGATTGATGGCCTGAATATGTCGAGAACGGATGCGAAGACATACTGTGTTCACCCAGTTCGAACACGCACTTTTTTTTTTTTTTTTTTCAGAAAAGATAGACCCTAAAATTGCATCTGCGATAGATTCGGGTACAACTGAAACTGCCCCACTGCTGCCCATCATCATCGCCATTATGTAGTGGGATCGCTCATTTGTTGCTGGCAACCATAGTATAGCATGTTTGCTTTTTGCTTTCTGCATCGCTGGAACCTTTTTCAATCAGTCCCGTGCTATCATTGTACATTGTACGATCTGTTATCCGTCCCATTTAAGAATGCACTTGGCCGTCATGAAGATGCATCATGTTTGACACAAAATTATCTTTAAACGTAAATTTATTCTGCAGCTAAAGGCATGGAAACAAGAGTACATCCCGTCATTTTCGCATGCCGGAGACGTGCATTCAAGCCTGGCGAATGCTGAAAATGTTAATCTTCTAGCAAAGGTCGCCACAAGTCCACAAGCGTGGAGATTTCCAGATCTTAAAAATGACCTAGCTATGAACAAAAACTTTCACTTTTTGTTCATTTGTGGAAAATCATATGCATGTTAGAAGCATGGCGTATAGTTTATTGCTTTGCCTTTTTTCTTTCTTTTCAGTCAAGAAGATCAAGTGCGCATTGGAATCGGGGCTTGCAGTATTTTTGTTTTTAGGTCATGTAAATCACGTGCACGTTAGAATCTTAGAATATTAGAATATTAGAATTGTATAAATACGGCAAGCGCTTGAAGGCAAAATTGTCTATTTACTTCTCGTCGTAATTCAGGCTCTCTCTCACATTAGCTTCTTCCGTTCTCCAGGCAAGGGCCCCTTGAAGGAATTCCATTCATTGACGACTACATTGCCACTCAAGAACAGGTAAGTAAACTGCTGATAATCTTTGTCGATCCTTTTAAGTCAAAAGCCAACCGCACCAATAACGACAAGCAGGACAGCATTGTGCTTGTATATCAACAGCGAACAGATGTGCAACTAAGTGCTGTAGTGTTTGAACATCAAAACAAAATATTACATAGTGCATTCACGGGAAAAATAAGGTGTTAAATATTTCAAAATGAGTAGCATGACTTGATGCTGTTGAGCAGCAGTTTGTCTAAGCAACTCAACAAGCAGCTGTGTAAAAGGGTGGAAGCAAGCATGCCCCATTGTCTTCTTCTTTTGCTATTACACTCAGGGCCTTATCCTCACCTCAGCTTTTAACTGGGATCCTCACATCTCCTTCATCTGTCAGACTACCGAACGCAAGCTATCATTCTTACGAAGGAACTTGCACAACACTCCACCAAGTGTCAAATTTAATGCCTATAAAACACTCATCAGACCATCATTAGAGTATGCTGACTTAATCTGAAGCCCTCTCCAAAAACATCTAACTGAAAAAAATGAGCGCATACAAAAACTAGCGTCTCGATACATATATTCTGTCTATTCTAGACAATCTGGCGTCTCTGAATTATTAGCGAGAGCAAACCTTGAACCACTTTCAAAACGAAGAACTGTTTCAAAGCTTAAATTAATTTTTCTCCTGTACAACAACCATTTCAAAATTCCGAAGTCACGTTATTTGCATCATCCTTTCTCACATTCATCAAGAACAAACCACAGCAAAACAATTTGACAGCCTTCTAGTCGTGTCAACCTACATAAACATTCGCTCTTTCTCTTAGCAATTTCTCGGTAGAACAAGTTGCCTGATAATGTTGTGCAAAGCAGCACCGTGGAATCCTTTGTTTCTAAAGTACAAGCCATTGATTTTTGTTTATGACTGCCTTATGTAACCACTCCTGCAACGGCCGAGTGAGCCTGCAGTATATTCAAATAAAAGAAAGCTCTGTGTACGCTGTTACCTGTAACAGAATTTTTTTATTCTTTTGCACCTCAGTGTTCTTTGCTGTACTGTGCGTTTCCAGGTGGTGGACTACCTGACCCAGTTTTCAGGCATCCAGCCTGGTGACCTGGATGTGACCATCTCGTCCAAGCATCTCACTACACTTAAGGCTACTTATCGCAAGCTTCGCTACCTCGTGGACGAAGGAGTTATCTTTGTGGGTCACGGCCTCAAGAATGACTTTAGAGTCATCAACCTTGTTGTGAGTACCCTATCATTGTCGGGTCACAAATCTAATGATGCTTTTGTGATCTTCCCTGTGCCTCGCCCCTCTGAGTTCAGTGCACATGTTAGATATTTTTTAGGCTGCTTATTAGTCAGATTACCTGATGTCACTTTTTGGCTTGAAGCAAGGTCAAAGCAAATTACAATTAATAAATATAATTTTCACTATAGCTTAAATAGTAGCAGGATTCGAATTATTGAAGATGCAACCTATTAATATGTGTTCAAATACAATACATTCAAGAATTTAGCATATTTAACATTTAAACCTGTGTAATACATGTTTAAACACCAAAAAAAAAAAAGAAATCAGAGTGCGGGTAGTATGCTAAACCTCGTCGAATGTGGCTTCGCGGTGGTGTGAATTTTTTTGTTTTGTAAAGATGGTTTCACAGCATAGTGGCTCATGCTGCAGTGAAACCACCTTTTCAAGCTGGTTACATGTGCTAAATAGCATATAGTACTTGATCGTTTCTAATACTTTGAAATTGAGGAAATTATTAAGAGGGCCCTCCAACACTTGTTCAAGTATGGAATGGATTCACTAAAATAGCTTATTGCCTCACGAATTCGTTGCAAATATTTTTAGAATTCGTCCAGTACAAGCAGAGTTACAAAGATTTGTCGCATTGCAATCGCATTCTCTCTTCTTTTATCTCAACGAAAGTGCTTCAAGCTAAGCAGGGAGGTATGTCGCGGGCAAAGAAAATACGTCACACGCGCCTTGTGACCTTGAGCACTTTTCTTTTTCTTCACCTTGACTACGTGGCTTCTTCAGTGCGATGGCACGCAGATGCGTAGACAAGCGGCGGCCTTCTGCGGCAATCCCTGCAACGACCGAGCGCCATGTTCAAATCAGCCAATGGCTGATAGAGCAGCTGTGATGAGTGATTTAAGAGCTTATGCTGTCATTTGTCGAGAGAAGAAAAAACAATTTTAGCTGACTTTGAGAATTTATCATAAATTCCAGGCCGTGTGCTGCGCTATAATATTTTGCTCGTATCTTCTTGTGAGCCTCTACTACCGATCGGCATGTTTTATGATCATGCTCAAAAAGTGTTGCAGGACCCCTTTAAATTGTGTCAAAGTGAATTCAAATAGTATAATATGTTTGCTGATAGTATTCGAAGTGCTAAGAACATTCACACAGGGCTACTACTTACTAGTATTTATATGTACCAGTTTATTCATGACTGACAATGCAGTGCAGAAATATTGGGTTCAAGCTTCTATTTCGGTCATCGAACGTTTATGTGTTCATTTCCAGCTCTTCCACAACCAGGTCGGAAACTTGAACTTTATTTTGTCAAACGTAACGGGAGTTTTTTTTTCTGTAATTCTGCAACCTAAAGTCGACCCTCGCAATACAATCGAATATCGAAAATCGAGTTGTTTACATTGGCATCCCTTGCGTCATATCTGTGGCCACATTACATCAGAGCAACTACAGTAAATGTAACTGCTTGAACAGCGTGCTCTTTCATGAAGTGTTGTACTGTAATATTGTTAGCTTTATTCATTTTTTGTGTACGTTTGCTTCTCTTCACAGGTGCCTGCTGACCAAGTGATTGACACTGTGCTTCTTTTTCAACTGCCAAACAAGAGAATGGTATCTCTGCGTTTCCTGGCCTGGCATTTCCTCGGTGAGCCCTGTGAACAGGAGAGAAAGTTTTTGCTGAATTAGGTGCACATTTTCATTATATCATGACTATCTAGGTTGGCAAATTGGCAAGTGCCTATTCTGAACGAGCCCTGCCGCAGTGGTCTTATGGCTAAGGTACTCGGCTGCTGACCCGCAGGTCGCGGGATCGAATCCCGGCTGCAGTGGCTGCATTTCCGATGGAGGCGAAAATAGTGTAGGCACGTGTGCTCAGATTTGGGCGCACGTTAAAGAACCCCAGGTGGTCAAAATTTCCGGAGCCCTCCACTACGGCATCTCTCATAATTATATGGTGGTTTTGGAACGTTAAACTTCACATATCAATCATATTCTGGATGAGAACTTGTGAAAGTAACGGGTGGAAACAAATCCAAGAACATATCTTGTTTTCTTCGTCTGCATTGTTCTTATTTACTGGTTTTAGTTTAATTCTGAATTGGATTTTTTTTTTGAGGTAGTTACACTATGAAGCATGTTTGATCGGGATCTGCTTTGTTTCCATCAGTGTTCTCAAGCTGCTATCCACTTTAGTCCTTTGCAAACCGTAATGCCCTTCTACATACTGTTGGTAATCAATCACCGCTCAAGGTGCACACTGGAAAGCTTACACTCAGTAAAGCATACATATATGTACCGTACTCACAGATTGATGCACAACATCGAAACATTGAGTATAACAAGTACACGCAATTCGTAGTGGCAACTGCATTGTGACGTGAAGAGTCTGCCAGCATTGGCTCCCATGTAGGTCTTCGAGTGGAAATCACACTGATAAATGCAAACTGAGATGGTGAAAATGTGAGTTAGTGCATTGCTTAGCCTAAATTGTCAAGTTTAATTTTGGGAGTGCTGTAAATTTTTCTTCGTACTTCTTCACACATTTGTAAATGGGTATAAAAATGTATGAGTTAAAAAGGGATAAAGCAGCACCTAGACGGAGCAACAGTGTTGTGCTAAAACTACCAAAGGTTACGAAATACATTTGGGATGTTACACTAAGGATCTAGTGTTAGGATTGCAGCACAAAATTGAGGAAAAAAGGTAGTTTGGCATTCATTCTCTTTGCTAGTCATGAAATTCTTCTAGTCAAAAGAATGGAATCATAGTTTTGAAGTGAACCTCTAGCATACTCTGCTGTTGTAGCATCATTCTTTAATGTCTCTTAGACTTTCTAACTCTTGCTTCTCAGGACTGAAAATACAATCCAAGATGCATGACTCCATCGAGGATGCAAAGACAGCACTTCGGCTGTACCGCAAGTACCAGCAGCTTGAGAGGGAAGGGCGGGTCACTGAGTCCTTGAAGGAGATGTACGAGGCCGGCCGCAAGTCCTCGTGGAAGGTTCCCGGAGCAGACGAGGAATGACAGTGCGATCACCTCTGGGCCGCAGTGGAAGGCTGCTGGCCGCCCAATCTGGACGCCCAGTGAGGCCAGTCGAGGGCGGAGCATACAACACTGCAGGTGCCAGTTGAGTTGCCTAACGAGTTGCCCGGAGGTATATTGAGTTGCCCGGAGTTGCCCGGAGGTAGTTGCCTTAAGGTAATGTGGCAGCTCTAGCGCGCATTTTGCTGGCCCTGTACCAGGAGTTTGAGCAACTGCTGTCTCAAGTTATTAGACATAGAACAGAGCAGGAGGAAGGTAACTTTGATTAGTTCCGACAGATCTAATACTGGTGCCACATGGTCACTCTTGATGGGATCTAGACGGACCTGCATGGAAGTTTTTGATCGTGATAGGTTCCTTCACGCAAGGTGCAGAAAGGAGCTAATAACTGTTCGCAAACTTGATTCCAGTTGGGCTTAGTTGTGATCAGCAATGCACCGTGTGGCACCTCTATGAGATCTGTTAGCAGTCGAAAAGTATGGAGATTTGAAATTAACTATCAATGTTTGCACTGCAGAATTTATGTCTGTGAGTATCCAAAAGAAATGATAAATTTCAAGAAGGCTTTAAATTAGCCTGTTTAGTTAGCCAGTTATCTTCAGTTATCTTCTGGCGTAGTGTTTTGCAGTTTTGAAATTGAGTCCATCCAGAGCGTAAGGCAAATGTTCCAGCAGGAGTCTCGTGAATGGCACTTGTTCAGAGGGCTTCGTTACCAAACCTGTAGTGTTATGAATTGGCATTCCAGTTTTCATTATTTGGCATTGCCCTTCTTCAAATTATGCAGGTCAATACCATCTGGTGAATTGGTGTAGCATTCAGTTACACATTTCGGGAATCGATATCATGTCAGTCAATGCTAATTTTGGTATTCCAACTGAGTGAACGTACATGAAGCACTGACCCTCTTCGAATCTCGTCATACCATTAATATTTTCTCAAGTGCCCAAAGTCTATAAATGAAACACTTATAAAACAGAATTGAGTTAGTGGAGTTGTTTAGTGGAAAATTTCACCCTATCCCCTGTTTCCTCAACTGGCGTAATATTTTGTCTGGCAAAAATACACCTTTTCATGTTCCTTAAGTTCCGCCGATTTCATAACTTGAGACAGTTGTGGCTGACACAGTATGTAAGTGGCCAACAATGTGCTATTGCATATGGAAGTGTAATCTGGGCCAGATAGCAGCAAATTCATCATCCTTGCCTGTTGAAGCTGTTCAAGATGGGCTATTCTCAAATGCCCAATAACTTAAGAAAACATGCTTAACTATAAATGTGGTTCCACCTGACCTGTCTTATCGGAGTGCCTGGGAAACTTCAAGACAGTACACAACAGTTAACCTCACGAAATGCCACTGCAAGATGTCAACTATAATTAGCAGTGCCATTCTATGTTTGGGAATGCTGCTGAAGTTTGGTATAGATGTGATTGTGTTGAACGTTTTTATATTTTTCTGTGGCTAAAAGTGAGCACGAGTAGCTGTATTAAAACTGCAGCATTTTTAAAGGCTTTGTCCCATCAATTTGAACACAGATGGTCTTTGCAATTGCAGTTTTTTGTATCTTTGTTAAGCTATCTGTCCATAATGGCTCTGCAACTGGACCTCTGTCTTGTAAGAACAGTAACGTAAGAATGGCAGTACATAAAGTGTACATTAGTACTGGTCAAAATTGAAATGGTTGGTGTGGACAGTTTTCGCACAGCTTAAAAAAAAAAACACAATTCAACTGAGAGGTCATGTGCAACTTAAACATGTCCTGAATTTAGTGTTGGTCGTAGACCTTCACGCCTCTTGTGTCTGCTAGGATATACTATTTTGTGATATGATGTATAGGCATCGGTTAGTGTTATTGGCATGGAGCAATGAAACTGTTCGTTGCTGCCATTGGTATTGTGTTCTGGTTAATCATGTGGAAGATACATCTTACAGACAGCAACTGTAATTTCATGTACTTGAATGATGTGAGTATAGCATAACGTTTGTTCTTTTACTTGGAAACAATGTATTACTTATCAACAAAGATTATAACAATATCAAATCTATCAGATGGGTTGCACTGTGAAAGCTTAACAGGGTCTTTGTACTATCTACTTTGGTTTTATATGTGCTACGCTTGCCACGACACTTACTAACAAACTGAACAGCAAGCCGGTACAGGTGTTGTTGGTTTCGTACATGCTTGCTGTACCATGCCAGCAGTAGAAATTGTGTGTCGTTAAATTCCTCTACTCATCACTGTCTGATCTTTCACATGCCTTACACGCTACCAGCCTAAGCTCATTTGAACAGCTACGAGCAGAACTTTTAACACTGCGCTGATTAACGTTAAGTCCAGTAGTCATGGTAAAGAGCCTTCAGAAAGGTACCCATTATTTCAGGAGGCTCTTGGAGTTATCTGCTCTGGGTAGCTGTTTAATCAGTTCTGCACTGATCTGGCAGCAATATGACTTGGTTTAGTTGGTTGAATTGCCTTTCGAACTGTAGTCTAGTGAAAGTAATATGGCGGGGTAACACTCCTTTCTTTTTTGACTGTGGTATATTCGTTTCTTCTCATGCATCTCAATGTGCACGGATGCCCATTTTGCAGGTTTTTTATGCATTAATCATTTGTGAGTGTGCAATGTTTTAAGGGGAGACGTGGGTCTACTTTTTTTAAATAGGTGGCCGGATGGAACGAAATTTAGTACACTTATTGAGTTTTTCTGTGCATTCCAAATTTCTGAGTAGATTTTTATTAAGCGGCATTAGAACAAAAAGTATACTATTTCACCATTTTGTAGCACAATTCATATGGGGATTTTTGGCATCTTCTTTTCGTCAAACACAATATCAATGTATGCATTCAAATTTCCCAAAAGCTGCTCTTGCTGCTGATGGTATTTGTTTTCTTATCATATTGTTCACCATACTATAATTCTCAATAATCCTAAACTGTTCGAAGCAAGGTTTTTTCCATTATATTTTTGTCTGTTTATATTGCACTCAGAGTTGAATGTAAATAATCAAATTAGCATAATTCACTACACTAGCTTTCTGGCAGTCATGCCATACACTTGGTTACTGTGTTTAACAAATCAAAATTGTCAAAAAGCATTGTTGGAAATGTGCTTTCAGAAATTTCGTATCTTTTATTCTAATGCTGATAATAAAAATATACTTGAATATTCAGAATCTGTAAAAAAAGAAAAGTGATTATGTTCAATTTAATTCAGTTAACTCTACTAATGAAAAAGATTTTTTGAAGACCCACGTCTCTCATAAACTTTTGTGTAATCCTTGCAAGGCCAGTGTGTTGTCCTATGTCTCGTGAGAAACCATAATCATGTAAATAATGCCAAGGAGTGATTTCATAGGCATGCTTGCGAACCTGCATGCTGGGCAACTGTAGAATTCTTGCCTTGAACTTAGTTTCACTGAGGGCCAAGTCATGGAGGAAACCTGTGACTCGCACGAAACTTTTGCCAAATTTTTTCTTCTCTTGAGAACACACTTTGAGCATTGCAGTGAACTTGGTAGTACTTACATGCCACATTGCATAGCCTTGTTATAAACGTATGGTCACCTATTGCTACTGTACATCTTGTACTATGTAACACCAAGAATCCATGATCTGGATAAGCCTATTGAATATTTGATACTGTGCCAATAAGGTGGGATCAACAGTATCAGTATTGTGTGACAATCCAGTATAGAAGGAAAAAAATATGCCACGCACAGTTTAAGAAAAAGTGTTTCTGCCACAGGGTCATGTATGCAGTTTTTACATTGAAGCCATATTTAGCAGAAAAATATCTTCATCAAATAATTCATTACATACATGCACTTGTGACATGTTGATATTGGCAAGAAAGATTTTGGGTTTACCTTGTTGATGTTTGTTGTCGATATTGAGGTCTGAATTTGTTTTAAACTCTTTATATTGGGCTGAAACGGCAACATAAGCATGATCGAGCCTTCTTACTCATTGTTAGCGATTCATAAGATCTTGTATTGCAGCACTATTGTATATTGAGAAATAGGTGCCACATCGAGGTATGTTGAACTTTTCTTACGATCTATCATAATGTTCTAAGTATTGGCTTCACAGTTCAGAGTGCTGGAGTTTTAGCAAAAGTTATTTTGGTGAGGGGAAAGTATTTGTTCGGTGTCGTAGTTTTTATTCACAGATTGATCCTTTCGAAACTGGCAACAAATCTGATCAGGAGTTTGCACAGTGTATAGCATGCTGTGCAGGGGTAGAGATGTTGCGGCTTTTAATGTATAAATCATTTACACACGATACAAAAGACAGTAGATTGAAGGCTTCTATGCATTTTTGTGGCTTCTTGCACTGTTCGTTCTTGCTTCAAAGCAAGCGCAACAGCCTGACAAAGGTGCAGCATCAAAACGTTTCATTTTTCATAGTAAATTTAAGAATACAAAGTCAAGCTGCTCTGTCTTACAGTCATGTAGATTTATTTTATTGCCTTTCTCATTATGTTTTGCACATTAGCAGTTTTTTTTTCTCTTCTAAGAATCTTTTCAACTCACACATGATCATTGGAAGTAATGGAAAGAAAAACATTGGCTAAATTAAGAAAGTTGCCATTTTCTCACAGTTTACAAATTGGCAACAATGTATCCTCCTTTCGCCGTTTTCCGTACATACTGTAGTCTCGATAATCCAAACTTGAGGCCAAAAGATGTTGCCTTGACACACACTCGAGTATGTGGAAGCAAAACCATAAATTTTTGTTTAATTTCTTTCGGTGACGCTTTGACTAGTGTGAATGTGACTTTTCTTTGTCCCTTCGTTTAGTGTTTATTAGTTTATTCCTGACAAAATAAGAAAAAAGGGGAATGATGAAGGCACACTTCTCAAGGTTTTACACCAATCATTGTCATTTCCTGAGCGAATAAGTAGACTGATTTGCTTTGTTGTAATGCACACCCAATCATCACTGCCAGGTAAAAAAAGGGCAACATGCTGTGGTGAGCATTTGCGAGTTTCTGATAGTAAGAAAACGTTACTGACAGTTGGCTCTCCCTTGAGAAATGGAAAATTATTTTATTGATGAGGTAAGTTGTTGCTGCAGAAGACTGTTTATCACTATGACTGCCCATACCAAATGATCATTTCTTAGGAGGCCACTGTAGCCTACCAGTTGTGTCTAAAACTGCCTGTTTAACTTGAAGGAGTGGGCATGAATATACTGCCACTCATATGATAGCATACAGATATGACTACAGAGACTTTAGTAGCCATTATAACTGCATGTTGACATTGCAGGTTTAGCAGGCATACTTGTATCGAATGTTCATACTATTTTTAACAAATATTTTTGAAAAAAGGTGTGCATTAGAATGGAGTGAGTATTGTGCCCTCCTTGAATTCAATATTTTTTTGCTGAACATCTGTTCTTTCTTTTGGTGGGAGGGGGGATGATACACTCAGGTAAATTGCTCATTGTATTGTTGTGTTTTACAATTTTTTGGAAGTTTCTTTATAACGCTTAAAAAAATTTTTGTAATTGCTTCAGGCCTTGTGGTTAATTCTTACTGTGTTCACTTTCTGATCTCAGTGGGCAAGTGTTTACTGTAAATCTGTGATGTTGCATCAATCGTTTATCGATATTATGTACATTCACTGTAATTTTTATGTGCATAATAAAGATGTTCATTATTTTTAATCCCGGTGCTGTTGCATTGGTATGTCCTCTACTTTATCTGCAGTAAAGAGAAACTGGGTTCGGGTTTGCTCGCTTTGTGCAGCCCGGCGAATTGCGTGGGCCATGTTGGTTGGTGAACCAGAGAGCGTGTGCTGACTCCACGTATCTGAGCAAAAATGAAAAAAGAAACATCCATGTAACGCTGCTAGTCTTTTTGAATTACTTCCAATATGCTCAAAGAACTAGAGACGGACAATGGGCAAGAGCATTTTCATCTTGTTCCTGGCTCTCTGATGTTGTCAGTGGCTGTCACTGCATCACGTGTGGGTCGCATCAGAAGTTAACTGTATGTGAGTGCTGACTGCCCATTAAAGATAATAATAATAATAAAAATTAAAAAAAAGGAAAACTGTGTACATTTTGTGTTGGCAGGTTGCTGCGGATTGGAAAGCAACCTACAAGCTTTTTTATGTGAAGCATTTCTTTGCTTATTCACAGCTATTGTATAATGCAAGATCTCTCAAGGTCACCAGTTTTGTTGCCGATACACACCGACAAAACGCTCCGACGCTCCTCCCCACTTATCATCATGCATTTCTTGGATAGGCAGTGAATTTATTCGCTTCACTTGCTGGTTAGCGTGTGTACTTCCGTATGTGCACCTTAGCTACACTGCACTCATGTGAACATTGCGCAAGAAGCCATGTTCATAAATGCTGTGTGCCCACAGTTTATAAGCCTGCCCATTTAAGCTACCTCTACGGATGCACAAATTGCCGACTGTTTCTGCATGAATGCTCAGTAGAACAACAAGCAGCATTTGATTACGCTCAGCATAAAAACTATGCATTATCAAGAGTACAATTTTGTTAAGAAAAATAAAATTGTGTCCTAGTTCTAGGCATGCACATAATGTTTCTAACGATTTACTCTATATTAAAGGACCCTGCAGCACTTTTCAAACATGGTCAAAAAATGCTGCCGATTTGTAGTCGTGGCTCTTTTAAACGCGTGAGCCAGGCATAGAACAGCACGTATCATGGAATTTACAGCTAAACTTCAAGGTGTGCTAGAAATTGCTCGCTGTTCTTTCAACAATAACATAACCAAAATAATTGCATCACATACCCAAATGCACATGGACACAGCCATTGCCTGATTTGAGCATTTTGGGCAGCATAGTTACCACGACCACTGTGCTGTGGTGCAACGTGTGCGCATCTTGTTCTACACCAATGCACTCGTAATCACACTGAAAATAAGCCATGCATTCGAAAGAAAAAGGGGTCAATGTAATGGCATGTACTGGTGTATGCACATAGACTCTTGTCATTCCCCTCACTGCATAGCTTTGAGCACGCACGCTGGGACGGAAGTAGAGAGCGTCTAAAGCCGGTAGCTTAACTATGCAACTCTGCTCATACATGATGAATTACGAAAATTTTTCTGGCAGTCAATTCGTGAGGTGGTATAGTTTGATTGTGATCTCATTCGTTCATTACTTAGAAAAAATGTTGCGGTACCCCTTTGAATACTTTTTGGGGTACATATTTTAGTATATTGAACAATTTTGAGAGAAGTATTTTTGTTATGTAACTTAAGTACATTCCAGAGCATCTCGTATTGAATATTCAAGCCTTTCGCAAGAATTCGCAAGGACAACCCACTTGCTCATGACAGGCACATGCATATTTCCTTTATTCAATGTAACCAAGATATAAAGTTGTATGCATTCAGACTCGTTCAGGTTTGCATACACACAAACTTGTCTAGACCAGTGTCACTTCACATATGAAAGAGACAGAGAGGAGTTAATAAAAGAGGAAGAGATAAAAAGGATGTTCTTTTGTGCCTACTGTCGCGGGGGCATGGCTCAGCACCTTTTGGAATGGGGATGTAAAGATGACAGGGAGAAAAGAGAGAAGGAAAGAGGGAAAGGCATGGCATGAGGGTGCCTTGCCAGTGCAGTCAGTAGCACGAAGCCAAAGTGTTTGTCTATGGGGGAGAGGGGGTCTGCAGAAGCACAGAACTTGAGGAAGGATGCCCGGTGTTGCATTTTCGTGCGTGCGTGAAAAAGGATGTCCTCTGTTGTTGCTGCAGGCACACAGAGCAGGCGATAACGTCTCACCGTCGTGCACGATTCTGCGGCCAGGAGTCAAGGGTGTGCAACTTTTCACCACACTCTTGAGGCGTGTCAGTTTCTTGTGCTGCAACAGTTCACGCAACGCTCAGCGTTACATACATGTCGGCTATTGTTGAACCAGCCAAATCTTTTTTCACCTTTGTCTGGTCTTCATGACCTCCTGCTTTTTTTCTTCCTAAGCTGCAGCTTACCTGTCAGGCAAGTTGAGGAGGCTGAAACAAATTTGCACTGCTGAAGCATCTTTGTTAGACTTGCCTGAATATTCGAACATTATTATTATGGTATTCGAATTTGCTTTGAGTTTATATTTCTGAATATTTTGAAGTATTCGAAATGAACAAATATGTGTATCTTAATCCGCACGCACTCCTGTTGTAAAGATTGTTTCACTTCAGTGAAGGAGTGTTAGGCTGTGGAAGCACCTATTTAAACGAATCATCAGCCTGACTACGCTTACTGCTGTGCTAAGGCCTCTCCCATAATCCGCCAATCAACCCGGTCTTGTGCTTTCTGCGGCCACGTTATACCTGTGATCTTATCGGCCCACCATATAAACGTATAGTAATTCGCATATAACTTTTGTAGGGGTGGTTTCATTGCAGTTATGGGGTGCGAAGCCGCGAAAACACCTATGCAGAATAAATGCACACTGCCGCGAGGCATCACTTCAAGGCTAAAATACCCTATTTCCCTCACATCAATTCACTATTGTTTAAATTTAACAGCATGTTATGTCGACCTATATGTTCTAACTATAGTACATTGGCCTGCCACAGTGGTCTAGTGGTTAAGGCACTTGGCTGCTGGCCCGCAGGTCGCGGGATCGAATCCTGGCCGGATTTTCGATGGAGGCGAAAATGTTTTGTGGTCAGTGTGCTTAGATTTAGGCGCAGGTTGGAAAACCTCAAGTGGTCCCGATTTCCGGAGCCCGCCCCTACAGCGTCTCTCATAATCATATGGTCATTTTGGGAGGTTATATCCCAACGATTGCTAAGTATAGCAAATTTGAAAACGTAACATATTACTCACATTATCCGCAAGTGAAATCCTGCTACTATTCAAAGTTGTTCCCACTTCCTTTGAACCAAGAAGAATGGCATGTGCACAGGCCTTGTTTCAAATTTTACAAAAAATATTGTGCAGGTGAGTTGGGTCTTGACAAATATGCCCATTTTTAAAAGGATATATACTATTCAAATTCGATTTGAAATTATTGAACGAAACCGCTTTAGGTCATAGATGCCTTTGTAATCAGATCTCTGCATAAAATTACTGCATACTTCAAAACTGAACGCATGTTAAATATATGCAGCATTCTACATCTGTTGATCGATAAGACCTGTTAGAGCAAACGCGGGATCTGCACAAAGTTGTTATGCCATCTGTCACTGTGGTGTATTGCTTACTTGGCTGATCAAATTTGTACTTTTTTATTTGCATTAGAGCCATGAAACGCTGTATTTCTGCATGAAAGAAAGGAAAATAAATAACTGCTGTCCAACATAAGTCAGATCATCTTTGTTACTAAAATAAATATTTAAGAGTAATAAAGCTTATTACGTATTATCTAATGTTTGGTTGTTTGGCGGTCCTAGCTATCTAAGTGATGTTCATCAACAGTACACTCTGTACACTGCCGTAGCTCTTCACTTAAGTAACAAGTATCTTTTGGAATAAGCGTGACCGCCGCAAGACTATTGTGCCTTTGTACCCTGGGCATATCCTAGTTCCCAAATAGCCGCTACAGGTGTCTGCCGCCGCTCGCCGGTGTTTTGATTGCAGGTCGCGAAATGCGGGCCCTTTTCCCACTCGCGCCATCTGGGGAGCGTGGCATAAAGCGGCGCGCGCGCCTTGACGTTAATTGTTTGTTCTGTACTTTTGATATTTCCCGTTTCTATGTTTTTCGCCGGCCGTACCCTTTCTCCCAGCCGCGCGCCTCCTCTTCCACTGCGCGCAGCTCACTTTAGCGCCGGCTCGCCCGCGGACTCCGCCGCTGCGCTGAGAAACCCCCGGCGCTCCGGCGAGCTCGTCGCGTATCGGCAGAGGCGGTAGCGACGACGGCGAAGGCCGCAGCGGCGCTTGCTTTCTCCGGCCGCCGCTGCTCGTGTCTGCTCTAGTTTGGCACCGATCAAGGCCACGACACGTCGCTCCCCGGTCGAACCACGGGCATGTCGCATCCCCTCGACACTCGCGCGTAAAAAAACATCTTCGGGAGGCGGTGGAAAAGCGTATCCTGTACGCGGGAAGAGGCGGCGAGATATGTCAGTGGGTGATGCGCCGGCGTTGCTAGGCCTACCCGTCGCCGAGCAGCCGAGCTCCTACTGACCTAGCGACCGACCAGTGGAGAAGTGTTTAGCTGCGCTCGCTGATCGGCACTGCTGCTGCTGCTGCGTGCGCGCGCGTGTGTTCGTGCGTGCGCGCGCGCCGCTCGCTGTCATACTCTCTCCCATTCTCGCCCTCCTCTTCTCGTTATCTATCCGGTCGCGCCTTCTTTCCACTTTCCGTGTGTGTGTGTGTTTGTGGGGATCGTCTGCGAGCAGACGGGAAGAAGGAAGGGGGTGTACACCGCGCCGGTGTCAAGTGTGTTTGGTGCGATTTCACAAACACGAGCCGCGCGGGTGTGCTCCTCCGAACGGCCGCTGCCGTGGATCTCCTCAGCCGAGTGGCGGCGACTCCGACGTCACTCTCGTCCGCCAGCGGCTCGTGCGCGACCGAAGAAGAAGCCTCGGCCACCGACACCGTGTGGTGCTCGACCAGCTCGTCGCCCACAAGCATGGCCGATGACGATGTGGTCTTCGACGATGTCTACGAGATGCACGAGTTCATCGGAAAGTGAGTACCAAACGCGACGGCGAACTCGTTGGGCCGCGCGCCTCTTCGCTGGTCTTCGTGCTTGCCGCTTTCCCCCTCTCCACTCGGGATGCGGCGGAGGTGGGATGCGACTGACTGCGGAGGGGAGGAGAGCTCCTCCCGGGCATCACTTTTCTTTCTTTTCCCCCCTCTCTTTTGGTTCGAGGCCAACAGCTGTTGCGGGGCTGCTGCGTGCCGGTGCGCTTTCTTGACGCATCGGCATCTCGATACAACTCGACTTCGTTTTAGTGCGCTTACGACTTCTAGTGGTTGATACGAGTCTGACCTATACTCTGCCAATAATAACTAACGCCTGCGTAATCGCATCGGCTGTGATCAACAAAGTAGTCAAAACAAAACACGGGCAATGTAATGAATATCCTACCGAGTCGACGTAACTCAAGTTCAATCTTCGTTGCGTCGTGTACACTAAACAATGTTGTGAATTGATTTTCTGCTTATTTCTTCGTTAGCTGGCTGTCGTTCGAGCCGCAATGTTTTGAGGTCTACGTTGCAAATAATAAAAAAAGGGCAGAACGATTTACTTTGCTTAAAACCGAAACTTTAATTTCTACGTGACATGGCCTCTGAAAATGCGGCACATTCTAAGGTCGTAAAAATCGGCCAAATGGGCTCCGTTTGGGTATTTATTTATTATGATATGCCTCAAGAACTCTAAGGCATTGCTGTAGGAGAGAGAGGATTTTAGGAAGGGGAAAATACGCTAATAATGGTTGCAAGGTGAGCGCATCAAGAGTAAACGCACGCAATCACACATAAATCCTGCAAGTCAGAATAAGTGCTACGCGCCATCACAATTGCGCCGTCCTGGTGAGGCCTCCGCAAACTCTGTCTTCTGTCAGCACAACAGCCTGGAGTAGTTTTTTTCTTTTTTTCTTTCTTTAAGTGCTTCCCGTGAAGCAAGGCAAGACGATTGAAGTGGGCCAAGAAATTCCTCGTACTTTTTTGTTAAAGTCACGTCTCTGTGATAGAAAAACAGGTGGTCTAGAGGAACGCTGCGGTTAATGGCGAAATTATTCCGATCGATCTGATTTAACCATTAACACAAATATATATATATATATATATATATATATATATATATATATATATATATATATACAGAGAGAGAGAGAGTTAACCTATTACGTGCAAGCTATAAACCGGACTGCATCATCCTGCAGAATTTCCAAGTTATTACCAAAAGTTTCACCCACAGCCACACATTTTTTGAGTAGTGAACATAATAAAATTATAATAGCCCTCTAACTTCATGGGATGCTTTCCTGAAGTTACTTCTCAGAAAGTTGACTAAATGGATAGTTTTTTATGGTAATGTAATTTATTTCGTTTTTGCAGTTTATCTACGACTGACATATAACTCCTGAGTATTTCGCTACTTCGCTTATTGCTATTTGCTGATAACAATTGAACGGTAGCACTGACTTTGTTGTAACGCAGGAAAAAACAATGACACGAGCGGCTTATTTATTCTACAGCACGCATCGCAATGTCTTTTCTTTTTCTGCCTACTGGACAACGGTGTATTTCTGTGGAAAACGAAAAATCGTGCAGGCTGCACGGTCGCTGCCTTATTTAAGGGAGCGTTATGAATAAAAGTTAGAAATTTGCACTACAGATGGCTTGTCACCCGTCTGCACTTTACCGTGATTAAGAAATTTTGATCCTTATAAATTATTATTTGTGTGAATGTCAAATCTGATATCGATTAGAATGTATACGTGTACATGTCTGTGTAGATGTAAGTTGTAATCATACTTTCAGAAAAAAGCCGCTTGACGCACATAAGTGTAAGTTATAGATGTTAAACGTGCATATATACTAACAATCTATTATTCCGAAGGCAGTGTATGATGCAAATTAACCCCTTGTATAGCTTGCATGTCATGTCACGGTCGCAGCTTGATAACATAATTGTTCACCACCATGTCGGTGGTGACGACGTAAAGGCAGCGGCAATCTCATCGCGTTTTACCTGCTTCACTATCGTAACAACGCGGCGAGAATGCTGTTGCCCTCTGAGCGCCGAATAACTAGATAACTTGCAAGTGATGTAACGACAACATTAACACGTGGCAACGCAAACCTTGCGTGTGCAATGAGGTTCACCAAAATGGCGGCTTCAGTGACGTCAGTGCCAGAGACATCTTATCACGTACCAACAAGCCTGAACTACAACTGTGTTTAATTAACTGTACTGGGTAAACGGAGCGTTAGTGTGCTAATGATATTGAGATCGAGCCGGTGCTTGGCGTTTCTTTTCAAGTATTGGTACTCATCGGCACCCACGCTGACACCTAATTGATTGAAAACGTGTATAATTGAGTGTTGTTCCGTGTTGGGTTGAGCTTCGAACGTCGGGCCGGGGAGCCGTAATGCATGTTCTTAATCAGTGATTTTTCCAAACCTGCTAGTCAGAACATCGTTAGCGCAGCTCTTTGCGAACGTAATTTGCGTTGAAAAAGCCTGTACACTCGAGAAAGCTGACACCAGCAAATGCTCAAAAATAGAACTTGTAATCAAATATGGTGATCGCCTTTCCATTGTCGGGCCTTACACGAGACACTAAGCGGGTATAGTTTATTCAAGTAATTATAATAGTCTTCACAAATAGCAACAAGACCTACGATAAACAACCTTTCATCTCGACAGCAGGTAACTTGGCTTTTTTTTTGTTACGTATAATATGAAAACAATTCTGGGTAATTATGACGGCTTCAATTGTAACAAGTTTTTTTTTTTCAAGTGTGGGTGACCTAAAGCGTGCAACGTCGACATTTGTGGCATTTTAGGAAGAAACAGGGTGCCTTTTAGTTATCATTAATTTTACTTTTCTCGCATGTGTGATGGTAATGTGGTAGATAATGCCTAAATGCGCACGAAACGACATCACAATATTAATGAAGGAAGTAATTTTTTTCCGCACAAGCCTTCAACTAGGTATATTGGGGTAATATCGAATGGAAGGAGATTGCCGCTCATTGGTACTTCATATATAGATCATGGAAGGTCTATATATAAGGCTATATAAAGAGCAGTGGTGGGAGGCACAGCTATCTGTCGACATAGATCGACAGGAAATAGTGCACAACCAGTGGCGTAGCCAAAGGAAGGGGCGGGGAGGTTCAACTATTCTTTCTCGCCGAAAATAAAATTTATGGCTACGCCCCTGTGCGCAATTGATCCCAGTAGCTGTCTTCCTATTGAAAGGGAGAAAAATGTCTTGTGGAAGTCTTCGGAAAGATTCTGTTGAGTCGAAATGACTCTTCCTGTGGTAATGTTCTTGTGACTATCGTAGGGGTGTTAGCCGCAAGAGTGTTTGCGATGCTGTGTGTAATTTTGCGCGTGAATAGACAGCTTTGTAATAGCGTACGCAATGATTTGCCTTAACGTTTGTCGCCGCTGGGTATGCGCGTCATACGCTGTCGTCTTTGGTGCCCACATTATCTTGAAAACGTATCGCACTTAACGAATGCCGACGCCACAAAATAGGACTTAAGAAGGTTTAGTAATAGAGAGAAAGTGCGTGTCGAAACTTAAATTCTATATTTTTTATTGCGTTCGCACATTTGCTGCTTTTAAAACTATATCATACATCTTAAAGGCTACTGCCGTATAAGTGCTTACGAAGGTTTTTACAATTTAGGTTTAACCAATCTCGTTTCAATTTATTCTACTCTCCATTGCGACGAACGATAGTGCATCGCCCGATTCTCCTTGGAAAAAACTTACCTATCATTGCTGTTTTTTTTTTTTTGTTGCTAACTTTGCCTTTCCTAGTAATTACGGAAAATTCTTCAATTTTGACGAGCAAGGCCCTGTACCTACTCATTCACTGCATGGCCTTGAAGCCCCGCCGCGGTGGTCTATTAGCTAAGGTACTCGGCTACTGACCCGCAGGTCGCGGGATTGAATCCCAGCTGCGGCGGATGCATTTTAGATGGAGGCGGAAATGCTGTAGGCCCGTGTGCTCAGATTTGGGTGCACGTTAAAGAACCCCAGCTGGTCGAAATCTCCGGAGCCCTCCACTACGGCGTCTATCATTAACATACGGTGCTTTTGGGATGTTGAACCCCACATATCAATCATTTGATGCCTGCTGTATATTCACATAAATAAATAAATAAATTCGCGGCCGATCCTCGAAAGTGGATTACGTGGTACGTCGATTCACCGACTAATAGACTCGGTGCCTTGGCTGCGCATCTCATTAGCCGCTATAACGATTGCGACATTTACGCACACTTCAGAGGGGGCCACTGCTTAACGGCCGAGTGTCCCGCATTTTGAGAAAGCCACTGCAACCGCGGCCCTCGGAGTCTCCAATCTCGATCGTCCCGACTGACTCGAGTCTTGGACGCTTTCTTATCGCCGCACTCTGAAGAGCAAGCTCGAGCGTAGTATTTCTCGAGCATGATCCGCGGCACAGTGGCGCGATATGTAGCCTCAGCCGAAGATAAATGGCGCTGGCCAAAGTATATAGTATAGAACTGCGAGAGGCCGCACACACAACAACCCGCGTTGCTTTTCGAGAGGAACTCTTGAAAACGTGTATTCGCCCGCGTTCAGCTGTAGGCCGCACTTGACCGCGATATCTCTTTCTTCCTTTCCACTGGTATCATTACGGAATATGACTCTGCTGACGCAACCTAAGCATACGGGGTATTTTAGTGAGGCGTAAATCTTGTTCCGCAATATTCAGTGCGCGAGGTTGCGTTAAGTGTTCGCTTCTGCGACTTACCACAGCGCCCGTTACTAACGGCTTCGTTACTAACTGCGCCCGTTACTAACCTATATTCCAGGTTCTTGAAATAAAATATAGAAGTGCGGAGTTCTTATTTGTTCACGTAGGTCGTGAAAAATTGAGAAAGAAAAAGGTAAAGCCTGCAATGTATTTTATTGAATTTATTTTACCATGGTCCATCCTACATACATAATGTCGTAAAACGCTAAAGAGAAAT